TTCTTCATGTGCATGTTTAAGGCGTAGACTCCGTCAACCCAAATGTTGATTAGTGGCTGTAGCTGGCGTTTTCTTCGCCGATTGGCTGTATGTAACCGTTTGTAACCATATGTAAGCCGTAACCGTTAAGTGTGACGCGTGAATGCATGACGTAACTAATTATTATTGTGTTGGGACATTCTAACGTTCAGTTGGGGCCCTCAACTCCACCGAAAGTAAGTGCAGCCTCAAACAGTGTCATTCCTTTGCACCTCAGAAAATAGCTAACAGTTGAGGTGAGCTCCATTTGGCCAAATCTGAACGTTCACGAAAGAATGCCCTGCGACACGATAACGAGGCTACAGAACAAGCTGGGGCTAACTGTACGGCTCTCTCTCTCTCTCTCTCTCTCTCTCTCTCTCTCTCTCTCTCTCTCTCTCTCTCTTCTTCTCTTCTCTCTCTCTCTCTCTCTCTCTCTCTCTCTCTCGCTCTCTCTCTCTCTCTCTCTCTCTTCTCTCTCTCTCTCTCTCTCTCTCTCTCTCTCTCTCTCTCTCTCTCTCTCTCTCTCTCTCTCTCTCTCTCTCTCTCTCTCTCTCTCTCTCTCTCTCTCTCTCTCTCTTCTCTCTCTCTCTCTCTCTCTCTCTCTCTCTCTCTCTCTCTCTCTCTCTCTCTCTCTCTCTCTCTCTCTCTCTCCTCTCTCTCTCTCTCTCTCTCTCTCTCTCTCTCTCTCTCTCTCTCTCTCTCTCTCTCTCTCTCTCTCTCTCTCTCTCGCTCTCTCTCTCTCTCTCTCTCTCTCTCTCTTCTCTCTCTCCTCTCTCTCGCTCTCTCTCTCTCTCCTCTCTCTCTCTCTCTCTCTCTCTCTCTCCTCTCTCTCTCTCTCTCTCTCTCTCTCTCTCTCTCTCTCTCTCTCTCTCTCTCTTCTCTCTCTCTCTCTCCTCTCTCTCTCTCTCTCTCTCTCTCTCTCTCTCTCTCTCTCTCTCTCTCTCTCTCTCTCTCTCTCTCTCTCTCTATCTCTCTCTCTCTCTCTCTCTCTCTCTCTCTCTCTCTCTTCTCTCTCTCTCTCTCCTCTCTCCTCTCTCTCTCTTAGGATACCGTACATGAAAAAGCCTCATGCATTTTTACACCATTTTTGGGCAGTTTCACATGGTATTTCACTTTGGTTATTAAGAGGTTAATATGTCAACATTATAATTAATACCTATTTTCAAACCGGTTTCTGATGTTGATCAATGTAGTGAACTTGGTCGAGCGTGCCCCTTGTACACAATTGCAATTTCCAGGCCTGAACCAGGACGTGGTGAGCTCGCTGCAGGGCGAGCGGCAGACCAACACGGCCACCCGCTCCTCGGGCGAGTTCGCCACTCTGGAGAAACGGGGCAAGAAGTGCCGCCACTGCACCAGCACACTGCAGAGTAAGGACAACTCAATGCCGAGGCAGGAATTGAGGGGCCCAAGTAGTGGACGAAACAACTCCGGAAGCTGTCGAAGAGTACGAGATACCCGCGGACAATCTCGAGAGACCGCATACACATGTTCAAAAACACCGGCCTGGTGATCCGCGGTGTTCGACTGACCTTGCCTCACCCCACCTGCAGGGCTGACCCGCGGTGCCTATCTGACCTTGCCTCACCCCACCTGCAGAGCTGACCCGCGGTCCATGTCTCACCCCACCTGCAGAGCTGACCCGTGGTGTCCATCTGACCTTGCCTCAACCCGCCTGCAGAGCTGACCCGCGTTGTTCGTCTGACTTTGCCTCACTCCACCTGCAGAGCTAACCCGCGGCGTTCGCCTGACCTTGCCTCACCGTACCTGCAGAGCTGGCCCGCGGCGTTCGCCTGACCTTGCCTCACCGCGCCTGCAGAGCTGACCCGCGGTCATTACCTCACCCCACCTGCAGAGCTGACCCGTGGTGCCTATCTGACCTTACCTCACCCCACCTGCAGAGCTGACCCGCGAAGTTCGCCTGACCTTGCCTCACCCCGCCTGCAGAGCTGACCCGCGGTGCCTATCTGACCTTGCCTCACCCCACCTGCAGAGCTGACCCGCGGTGCCTATCTGACCTTGCCTCACCCCACCTGCAGAGCTGACCCGCGGTGCCTATCTGACCTTGCCTCACCCCACCTGCAGAGCTGACAACTGGCCGGACGTACGGTGGCTCGAAGGAGAAGCTGCAGGAACAGAGCACAAAGAACGTGCGACGCTCGCTGCGTGGCCGGGCCGGCGAAGGTGGGACCGCTGCTGGTGTCTCGCACGCCGTGACGACTGCAGGCTAGCCGACCGGACCGCTGCGGGTGACGCGCGTGGTCCGAGGTCCTGTACCTTTGCCCTGCTCTGACCCGCCGAATAATCGCAATCAGTATGCGGAAGAGGCGCGGCCAGATACGGGTACCTGGACTTCCATACCTCGCGGGCGCAGTCTTGAGTGCCAGCTGCTGCACTTTGATCTGCAGTCATGAGGCGGCCTTTAACACACACCACACGAGTCGCCCATGCCTCTTGATGTCAGCTTTCCCCTGACTCCAACGACATGTCATCCATTTGTGTCAGACGTGCGTTCCGGCCGCCCGATACAGGCGCCCGGGGTGCCGTGGTCGTAGCCGCTGACCCGCGCCGCCCATCCGTCGCTGACCCTGCTCGCCGCGCGCCGGCAGGTGCCACCATCGCTACCACCGGCACCGAGGTCAACAAGTTCCGCCGGCAGAAACGTGCTGGCTCCGGCTCGGACGTGCAGCAGCGCTACAAGGGCGCCAACAGTCAGCTGTCTGCCACGGGCGTGGCGAAGGGCCACGTGGCCGGCTCATCCGCCACGCGCACCCGGCGCCGCTCCTTCGAGACCGAGGAGGGCGTGTCCGTGGCCGATGTCAAGGCCTTCGACGTGGCAGGTAGGCCGCGTCGGGCGTGTGAGCGTGGGAAGGGTGGGGGCCTCACACGCGAACAAGGCGGACTTAAGGGCGAAGCTGAATCCTCATTATATTTCATCTGTATTGGAGAGGGGAGGCCAATACTTTCACGGCACGTTTAGTTCTCCATTGATCGCGACGTGCATTACCTTTTGAGTAGCGTCACTGATAGGAGAAAGTACTGATGCAGACACGACTGACCTAAGCCGTGGTGCGGGAGGGTTTAAAAAGTGTCGAAGCGTGCCAAATTTGGCGTCATCCAAAAATTTCACCGATACAGACATGTCCAGACACGTGAAAATAGCTCACATCATCGCACCGATCACTGTGTTTTGAAGATCAGCTTGCGCGTAACCAATTCCGTCGAGAATGAATAACCAGGTACCTGATTGTCAAGCCGCCTCGGTAGGTTCCCTGGCCTCGCAGCCGGTACTGGACCGGCACGCTCACGTGACCACCGGTGCCGGCGTCCGACCGACCAGCTTTATCTCGAGCCGGCCACTGCCGGACATATGTCATGGACAATGTAGCGCGCCGGGTCCACTCCGATGACGGATTCCTGCCTGTCGGTGTCGCGATGTCAGACCCAGGGACTCTCTCGCAGCATGATGCATAGAGCTGCGGCGCAGGGCTGTCGCCGCTGGCAGAGAGCGGCCTTGTGCGTCAGCGCGACGCTCGGTGTGCTGAAGCGGCGGCGTTTGTTGCAGGGTTCCCTACCAAGGTGAAGCACTGAGTCACGAATTACCAGCAGTCGGCGACGCGCTGGGCCTCCGACCGCAGCAGCGGTCGGCTTCGTGTGTGGAGTGCTGTGGCTACGTTTGTGGGTCGATGTGTGTGCCTTGTCCGTTGTCGCGCGCTTGTGTCATACTCATTCATTGGTCAACTGGCGGGGATTGGAGGCGTGAAGGGGCATGCATGGCAATACATGTTACGACAAGCAAGTGCATCCCGAACCATCTGTTGTCACAATGATAGCGATAACTGAGAAATCCCCGTGGTGGAGGCCATAAACTAACTTGAACGGAGACGCCGACCGACGAACAGTGGTGCGCTAGTAAAAAGCACACGGCGCACCAGGAACAATATAACGAACATTACCACCAATGATCCGTTTCGTGTGTACTCACATGCGTATCACGCGAGCTAACCTGGCCGGTAATGTAAACTCATGCGTCGGCATCAGAAGTCAACAATGAAAAACATGTTTACAAAGGTCTTTATTACAAAAAGCCACACTACCTAAAACCTCAAGGCGCCATTTAGAAGCGAGACGCGCATTGACCGCGCCTGACCGGTGCCCCCACTCCGCAGCGTAATGGAGCCAGCTGCCGCGCGCCGCTCGTGCCGCCGGCACGACCCCAGCGGGCGGCAAACGCGACGCTTGGGACGGCGTCCAGCTGCGCTCAGAGCGCAAAACCGACTCAGAATGGCACCCATGTCTGCCAAATATGTGAACACCGCCACGCAGATCATCAAACCAGACCACGCACGTCAGCATTACGTAACGCTAGACGGGAGCAGCCGCGGCAGCCGGCGCGCACAGCAGCGTGGCGGCCGCGCGTCGTGACTCAGACGTGTCCAACGCACCAGCCTGTGGAAATCCGCTGCTGGGATGTGGTGACGTCACTGCGTCAAGTCACACTGATCACCCCGTTCGTGCATCACCGTCTGCAAACAGGGCACTCGCGACTGGCTGTCGGGTCATGATGCCAGCCGGCACAGATCACTGTGGGTCCGCTCACACAGGCCGTATCGGGTCATCCCTGGGGGCCCGGACACCGACCGGACAACTCATCACGACGTTACGTCATCACCGAAGTTCGGGTCAGAACACTACACAACACTACAGCGCATCGTCAAGTCACTCACTACCTTCGTGTTGACACTAAATCACGCGTCAGCTCGTCACTGCGGTCACTGTGGTTCAGGTCAAACGCATAACACCCCGGTGCGTCACGTCATGGCCTTAGCTCCCGCCGACGGGCCGGCACCGACGGCTGGGCTGGCGTCGGGTCGGCCCAGCGCGCGCCAGCGACCTCAGCACGCGAGCCGGCCGGCGCTGCACCCGCTCCGCTGTCCTCTGCCACCGCAGTCGCGCGCGGCGGCCGGGCCCGCGGGCCGGTCAGCGGCGGGCCGGCCGGGGGCTCCGACCCCAGCTCTAGCTGGCCAGAGACGCCGGCCCGCGCGACCGACGCCGCGCCAGCAGGCCTCTCCGTTCCTGGTATCTCCGACCATCGGCCCACCACCGGATCCGCCCACCAGATCCGTTCGGCAGACCCGGCCGGCTCAGCGTCGGTCACGTTTGCGCGAGGGCCGCTTGCGCCCGTACCGTTCGATGGCCTGCTCAATGCTCGGCTTGTGCTCGAACACGGATGTGATCTGCACCTTGGCCTCGCTCAGCTGGTCGCGCAGGATCTTGCTGCGCTGTACGTTTCCCTGCCGGCGTGGAAGGGGGGAGGGAGGTCAGGGGAGGCCGGCGGCACCGCGGCCGGAACCAGCAGGTGGAAGCAGTATCATCGGGTGTAGAATGCGAGCATTGGCCGTGGCGATCCATCGGAGGGTGTCCAGGCATTGCATTTGCACTACTTTGCATATTGCATATTGCATATTGCATTACGCGACATTCATGAGGGCATCCCGGCATATATGCAACACGACTGAATGCAGTGGCCGAAAACGCAGGAACGGGGGAGACGGCGAGCGCTGTGCGCCCACTTTTCTTTCTAGGATAACATCCATCCATGTAGTGATGCACGGGAGCAATGGAATGATTTGACCCCCAACACATATGCACATTCGAACACACACCCTCTGGACGTCCCTCCGGCCCGGTCGTAGGTCATAACAGTATCCACGTACGCGGTTTAGCAGAACTAAGTGCAGAAAAGATGGGCTTTCTCACGACACCCAACGAAACGAAAAAAACGCCACTCATTGATTGATGTCATTTTTCTTTGCGATTGGCACAAGTGGATATGTCTCGTCTTTTCCTAGAGCAGTCACAACCCAGCGACCATGACTGACTGTACTGCACAAAATGCCCCAACTACTGTGCATACTTGGTCACCTCAAGCATCAAGGCTAGCTTTCATTACCTTTCATTTTAACCAATCTATATCGTTACACGACACTCTCTGTGGAGTGTGGGCACAGAACAATCCAACACTCTGTGGGTTTATCTGCACATCAAATGGGCCAATCAATGTGCCACCCACTGCCCGTAGTCCGGTTTCACGCAATATTTTTTTTAATTACCTCATTTTCGACATTGCCTGCTGGTCTCCCAGCGAGGCCGAGCCATCCGAGCAGCTGATAGACAAAGCCACTAAGACTACGCATCGACTTTGATATCGACCATCATAGCTGCATCGACACTGCATCGACCAAGGAGGTGAACAGGCGGCTAGATCAGCGTTACATGGGATAGCGGACGACGCAACGACAGGGAAGACGCCGAATAAACGCCATCGATCTCGCCGATATGTGTCACGCACGTGGCGCGCGCCGCATACGCCGCCAACAGGCACCAGGCCCATCGAGCTATCAGAGCTGTCTCCACCATGAGCGCGGGCATGGCGGGCATCACACGGCACAGCGAATCACGCGGTCAGGGGGACGCGCCGGGCAGCACGGCAGGCGCGGCGTTAGTCTGCACTGCACCCACCTTGATGAGCTCGTTCAGCTTTGTGATCTCCTTGTCTTCGCGCCGGCTGAAGGACATGCGCTCGGAGGTGCGCAGCATCTCGCTCAGGCGCCGGTGGACGGTGCGCTCCACCTCGGCCAGCTCTTCCATTTGGCCTGGCGGCGCCGGAGGAGGCGTTAGGCGGGGGAGGGCGGGGGCAGGGAGCTGGTCGGCCTTGAGGCAGCGCCCGGGGGATCCGCGGCGGCGGCAGACACACGCGCCGCCACAATGTCGCGGCCAGACAAGTGGGGGCCGTAGCCTGCACCAGCGTCCAAGCCCAACTGGCCGTTCCTGAAACGGCACCCCTCTCCTGACGCGGCCCCCTGACGCGGCGCCTCTCCTGACGCAGCCCCCTGACAAGGCGCCCCTCTCCCGACGCATCCCCCTCCCCAACGTGGCGTCCCCCTCCTGACGCATACCCCCGCTCGCTGATGTGCACCCCTTTCCTGGCGCCCCGAAGACGGACCTCGGGCCTGACAGTGCGTCTGGAAGTGTACGCACGCTCTACGAGAGCATGGCGAAGGACGTCGCTAGAATGTGGGGGCAGCCGTGGCAGGGGCCGTCACCACAAGGGCACACGCGCCCGGCCGGAGCGCCATCAGCTAGATGTTCGGGCGTCTCCCCACAAGTGCGTCCCATCAAGGCCGCTGCTCCGCGACACGCAGGGCACACGCGCCCGGCCGGGGCGTCATCAGCTAGATGCTCGGGCGTCTCCCCACAACTGCGTTCCATCAAGGCCGCTGCTCGCCGACACGCAGTTAACTCACGCTTAACTAGCGGCGGCTGTTTTACACCGCGGGAAAACTGTCCCACTTGCGTCTGCGGGTTTAACACGACATTTCTCCGAAACGCGCACAGTGCCCCACTCACCAACTCCAAATGGCCTTGTTTGTCTACAAAGGCCCACTAACAAGCGTTCTACTGCAGCACTCGCGAAGTCTTGATGCGAAGCCCACGTTTGACGGACAGCAAAGCTAACTTTTCGAATGGCAGCAGCTTCCAAGTTATGACCACCCTCGGCATCTGCATGCACTCCATAATGCCACCGGATGCCGCGGCCCCCCGAGGCGCCGCGCCGGCTCGCTGCCGAGTGGGCCGAAGATCGAGCACATTATCTACAGGAGCGTCGGTCTATGCAACGAGAAATCGTTACGCCGAATTTCCGACGGCAACAGACTTCATTTCCCTGATCAGCACTCAGCTACGGCGAACAGATACCAAAGCCGGCGTCGGCGATCCAATCCAATCGCATCAGAAAGCGAGCCTCGGGCACGGGCTGGCCCCCCTCCCCCCGGCCTGGACGGGACAACCGGGCGGCGGTCTGAGCGATGAATCGGGCCCGCTGACCCCCGAACACTGCCTCCAGCCCCGCCACCGGCTGGCCGGCGACCGAAGCCGCGTCGACAACCGAACCGACCGTCGGCCCGTGCGAGACAGCTGCGCCGTCTGATGAGCCGGGATTGGACCATCGGCTCAGGGGCATCGGAGTCACCCAGCCAGCCAACTACTGCAGATACGCTGCAAAACAGGCGTCCTCCGTTGCATGCGTCTACACATGGTCGCAGAGCCCTGGTATTGGTCTTTCGGTACATGTACTCCCATGTTCTGTCATCAAATTATCCCACGCAATGTGTGACCAACCTTCAAGCCCACATAACATACTAAGAGAGTCTGCTTGTCTGTATACCGAGCTCAGCAATCAATAGGAACAAAGTCAGGACGGAGCTAGCTTCGCTTTGTGCATTTTGTCTAGCTAGGGCTACAGAGGGAATTGTGAGGTCCAGTGCTTTGAGATGGCGACCCCATGCCATTCAAGTCTCCCCGGATAGTCCATCCACGACCATCAGACTGGTCCAGTCGAAGACAGCTTGCATGATGCCCCAGCATCAGTCATCGAGCCATCATCAAACTTATCTCATCATAGAGCAGACAGTGATACATTCGTACCTCACACACCGAGGATCTGCGCACCCACACGAAACGCGTCCAACCACGTCACCTGACACTGCACATCAAAATGTCACCTGGCAAGGTCTCTCAGCCTCGCGAGCCCCCTCCCCCCCCCCCCTCCGGGACTCACCGGAGATGTGGTGAATCTTCCAGCCGTTGATTTTCTGCGCGATGTGACGCTGGCTGGCCAGGTCGGCGATGGTGGGTCGCCGTTCGTCTCTGCCGCGGACATCAGCGTACTTGACGAAGTGGCTGGCGGCGGGCCGCCAGGTGCGCGGACCCATCGCGTTCAGCAGCGACATCGCCGGCCGCTTGGCCGGCGGCGCCGGCGGCGGCGGCGGCGGCGGCGGCTCCGGCACTCGCGTAGCCGCCGCCGCCGCTGGCTGCCGCGTGTGCTCGCGGATAAACTCCATCTCGTCGTCGCTGGCGGCGTGCGGGTCGAAGGGCGCCGCCGGGAAGGAGACGGCCGGCGCGGCGGCGGCCTTGGACGCACTGCAGCAAGCGCGGCGGCGGCGTCAGGCGGCGAATTATGTGATGATTTGGCCTTTAGGGCGCACCGACTACCCTGGTCGTACAGCGCACGGCGGATCATAAGACAAGATCCCGAGCCCGTTCTGATCACGTAAGGCCCCTTCGCAAGCAGCGGCTAGCACCACATTGTGCACAATATTCAAACATGGGCTTGGTGGCAACGCAGGGTCCTTTTGGAGGTGCAGTTACACTCTGCTAGCCAGCTCGTAGATACTTCTGACAATATGTCCCGACAGCTATGCCATGCGACCATTCCTCAGCGCTGCCGGCTCTGCGACCCCACTCACAGGTTCTGTTTGCGCGGCTTCTTGCGCGGGCTGAGGCCGAGCGGCGGCGTACCGACGGCCGCGGCCGCGGCCGCCGTCGCCGTCGACTCGTCCGCCGGCTCGTGCGCCGCCGGCTCGCCGGGCGACGACGAGGCCGAGATGGTGCTGGACGAGTGGCCAGACGAGTCGGGCCGATGGGGCGAGCCGGCCGGCGAGGCGGCGGCGCCGGCGCCGGTGCCGCTGCTGCTGCCGCCGCCGCCGCCCACGGCCACGGCCAGCTGCTGGCTGAGGTTGCGCACGGCCCGGCCAGCCGTCCTGCGGCCGGCAGACACGAGGTGGACTCAAGGGCAGGAGCTGAACGGCGCTGCAGCCGGCCCGGCACACGCGGGGTCAGATGGACCAGATCTAGGGTGTGCAGCGGTCCGGCACCCAAGACATCTCATACACAAGGTCATAAGCCACGGTAGCGGACACGAAGTGTTGAATAGAGCCAGATCCGCTCATGCAAGTCAGTCGCAGACCGGATTCACGAACAATGACCGCATATACACCGGATATGAGACGCACAACGGCCCTGGATGGACCACGCCCAGAACACACAACATTTTCCATACGTGGATCCCACACAGACGGACAGACCGCTAGAGCACGAAAACCGCCAAGTGGTGAGTGAGCCGTATGATGTTCGGCGACAAAGATGATGTTCTGATGCTTGGTGCCGCTGGTGGGTCCAACAACGCCAGCTTCGCAATTCCAAGCAGATTTAAAGAATGAGTCATCCAGGGACGCTCTGTCTGACTAGACACGGCAGCCGGGCGCTCAAGGCTCGGAGCGACGCCAGCTACCGCGGCCCGCTGGCTTACATCTCGCTCTCGCGCTTCCTCAGAATGCTGGGTCGCGGGGAGGTCATCTTGACGGCCTGCGGCGAGGCGGCGTGCGGCTGCGGGCGACCCTCCCCCGGCCGGCTCAGACGTGACGTCCCGCTCGGACCTGTCGCCACATCGCCGGTCGGTCACAGAGCAGACACGCACTGCGCCGCTCAGCCCCGGAGGCGGCTCTCCGCACACGCCTGTAGGCTCCGGTGCCAGCGCATGCTCTGAGGCCATGGGCACGGCGCGGCAGGAGCGCCAGCACAAGCTGCATCTAACACATAGACGCCTGTCGCGGTAGCGTAGCGTGGGAGGCTCCGCCGTACTATCAATCGGCTCTGACACGGCGGCTCTGCAGGCCGCTGCTACCCGGTCCCCATCCGCCGCTGCCAAGGGCCCCAGCCGCTGCTGTCCTGGTCCCCAGCCGCACTGCTCTGGCCCCCAGCAGCGCTGCCCTGGTCCCCAGCCGCACTGCTCTGGCCCTCAACAGCGCTGCCTTGGTCCCCAGCCATGCTGCTCGAGGCATCACTTCCCGTTGGCTACAGCAGCGGCCTAGAAAATTAAGGCACGGAAACATGCCAAGCCACGTCGCAAACGCTGGTAAGCCATGCGTTGTGCTAGCAGACCGGGCCGCCCCGTCCAGGCGGGACACCTCTGCGGCGGACGACCTCACCTGGCACCGGCGGCCGCACGGCGCCGTAGCCGGTGTGCTCGTACACCACGCCGGCCGGCACGCCGTAGGCCGGCGTCGTGCGCAGTGCCGACGGCGCCAGCGGCAGCTCGCCTGCCGATGAGGCGGCGCAGCCGTCAGCGCGCGGCGGCCGCAGGCTCGGCCAGCGCCGCTCCACGTCCACACACACCGACCACTCGGTACAGACCGGCGCCGCAGCCGGAGCCGGCGTCGGAGCCGGAGCCGGCGAGGGCGCCGGAACCGGAGCCGGGGGCGACTCACAGGACGGAGGCGCCGCGGCGGCGAGCATGACCGCAGGGCGGACACGAGGCGTACCTGGGTGCCTCTGGGCGTCACTGGCTGGGGGCGGCTCGCGGCTGGATGGGTGGTGTTGCTGCTGCTGTTGCTGTTGCTGTTGCTGTTGCTGCTGTTGCGGTTGCTGTTGCTGCTGTTGCTGCTGCTGCTGCGGTAGCACCTGCTGGCACACACACAGCGTCAATGCGGAACAATGTGCACCGTGGCCACAGTACGCAAGCGATCGCTACACAACGCCAATGGTGATATACACATGCGTGTAACGTGAGTTAAAGCTTACCAGCTGTAGACAGTAACCATATGCAAAGACCGGAAATCACGCTCACCACAGAACATGCTAAAATGCAGTTGTGGAAAACAGGGGAAACATGAAAACTACTGTTTCGCCAGACGCCTGGCAATCCAACACGACACCCGTCCAAGCGGGTACAGGGACATCTCCGGTTGTCCCAGAGGGCACAGGGGCGTCTCCAATCGTCCCAGCGGGTACAGGGGCGTCTCCAGCCGTTCCAGTGGGTACAGGGACATATCCGATTGTCCCAGCGGGTAGAGGGGCGTCTCCGGTCGTCCCAGCGAGTACAGGGGGTTCGGTTGTCCCAGCGGGTACAGGGGCGTCTCCAGTCGTCCCAGCGGGTAGAGGGGCGTCTCCGGTCGTCCCAGCGAGTACAGGGGGTCCGGTTGTCCCAGCGTTTGCAGGGGGCGTCTCCGGTCATCCCAGCGGACACAGGGGCTTCTTCAGTCACGGCCGGAGCGTGGCCGCTGAGCACGTCGCTGCGTGTGCCGCGCCGCCCCCACCTTGGCCACGGGGATGGCGGTGATCTGCGCAGCGGCGGTAGCGGCGGCAGCGGCGGGGACGGAGGCCGGCGGCTGGCCGGCGGAGCTGGCGGCCGTCGGCCGGACGGCGGTGCCGCTGTGCGCCGGCAGGAACTGCGGCAGCGCCAGTGCCGGCCCGTGCGCCGGCTGTGTGATCACCTGCCGCAGCACAACGGCACGCGCGTCCTCACAACCCGCCGATGTACGGCCAGGCGCCGACAGAGGCAGCCGTGCAGGTCGGCCCACTCACCAGGATGCGGAACAACACGAACAGGGGAGAACCAAACGTCGATAAGCTAACTTATGCTCCTGTGGCCCAAGAGAGGGCAGCTGCATGCTGGCATCCACATGCCAGCCCCGGCTCATTACCTAAGGAAGACACACTGACATTGTTTCCTGTCATCGTCATAAGGTTGGTGAGACCGGTGTCTGCGCTCACCTTCGCTCCCTGCTGACCCGACCCGGTCCACGGCACCGGCATCGTGATCGGATGGCCGACGGGCGCGGCCTTGGTGCCGCCGGCCGCGGACGAGGGCCCTGCCTTGACCGTCAGCGGCTGCGGCTCGCCGCGGTCGCCGGCCGCACCTGTACTGACGGTGAAGCCGCCAGGCGGCGCTGGCACCGATATGAGCGGGTGGATCGCGCCGCGCATCACCTGCTGCTGACCACGGCCGGATGGCAATCTGACGGCAACCGACTCGCCGTCACCAGACCGACATACAAACGACCGCGCCGGCAGTGTTTGCGCACAGCACAGGCTGCCAAAATAATTAAAAGCACGTTCTGAGTCCTACAGGGGCGCTCTGGCACGCATGGCGCGGAACAGCATGCAAAAATGGGGGCAGGTCTGACCACAGTGCCGGTGATGCATTGCTCATTAAGGGCAGGACAGGTGATGGCCTGTGGGCAGCCGTGCCTGATACTCCGGTAACATACAGCGATCTCGCTTCCTTCCGATACTCATGTGCAGGAAAAAGTAACTAACTAGCATGGACAGGGTAAGCGGCCACGCACATGTCAGCAGCGATTTACGGGGAGTAAGCTAACGCTGTACAATAGGCGGAGCAAGTGAGCGGACGCCACGATAGGCGGAGCAAGTGAGCGGACGCCTACAGCTGCCGCAGGAACGAGGGCGTCTCACAGGTGAAGCAGACCGCGACGCCGACTCACATGGAGTAGGTGAGCGGCGCGCCCTGGCGCAGCGCTGGGGACGCGACGCCGGCCAGCGCGCGCGGCAGCTTCTCGGCCGTGATGTGGGTGATGTGCAGGGGGCGGGGCGTCGCCGAGCCGGCCGGACTCACCAGCCGCCCCTGTGGTGACACGGTCCGGGCCGCACTCCCTGCCGCCCAGGTCACGGTCAGGTCACGGCCGCGCCGCAACTCGGCCAGCCGCACCGGCTCAGTACAGCCGGCCTGTCACTGGGACAAAACAGCACGACCGCTCGATACTGTGCGACAGCCTCATGCCCGTTCAAGTGCAACACGAGAGGTAAACGAGTCAATCGAATTTAGCGATGTAACAGCGGCCGCCCCGGCTCACCGGTGTGGACCCAGAGTGAGACGCGCAGGCCCGCCGCCCCGTACGCCAACTCCGGCCGGTGTCATCGTCACTGTTGACAGCTTGGCCGCTTTCGCCGCCATCTTGGAAGGTCCGCCAGCTGGGGACAGAGGCAAGATGTCAGGTGGTCATGCTCCGGAGAGCACGAGTGGAAGATGCGGTGGAGAGGGGGGGGGGGGGACAGGGTCAGGGGAGGTGTCGTTTCGAGGGGTGCCTGTGAAGAGACCATGGCCGCGCCGTGGCTGACCCTTGAGACCTATGTTGTGAGAGCCCGCGCTGGACGACATAACGTGCAGGACAGTGCCAGAGACCATGCAGGTGAGGAGCAACGAGGGCCCACACCGAGCAGACGAAATGTGCCCAATCCCATCAGGCAGAGAGGAAAGTGGGCAATGTAAACGTACGAACGACTGTTGTGAACAACCGGGACCTGTCTGAAGCCTTCACAAGAGCGGTGTGAACGGAACGGGACGCTGTACGTCAACAAGGCAGCGAGTCTATTGCTGCAGTACACTGCTGCGGGTCAGTAATGCTGGCGGGGCACGGTCAGGCCGGCTCCCGACCATAGCACGCAGTCGGTGGTAGCCGCGAGCCAGCCGCTAACGCCGCCAGGCCAGCACAACGGCCGACAAATGCTCAGCAAACGCTGCCGCTGGTCTGATCGACGAAGCGGCAGCACCTCGTGGTGGATCGGCGGAAGGGTCATGCCATCTGCGACGACAGCTGAGAGACGCATGCCACCCTTTACAAGCAATGGGCTATGTCCACGAGCCTCGCGCTCCGACCACAGCCACGACAATGACCAGCCCTAACGTTCAACTATGGCAGGCACCACTGAGCGCTCCGCCAAATACCAACGGACCCCCACGGCCAGCTGCCGGGGCGGGGCTCGGTTGGGCCTGGCACAGCTGCTCCTGGCTCCTGCTCCTGGCGGCACTGACCTGGGCTGGGGGCGGCGGGCGCAGCTCGCGGCAGGACCGGCGGGCCGGCACCGACCGAGGTCACCGGCACCACCAGGCTGGCCGGCAGAGCGGCTGGTGCCACCTGGTGGCTCACCTGGTAACTGCACCCGCCCGTCGTCAGCTCAGATCACTCACGACACGACAGCGGAACACGAAACAACATGTCATGTTGTCAACATGTCATGTTGTCAACGACAACATGTCAACGAAAACAACATGTCATGGACGCACAGTGCCCTCGACGCTGGCGAGCCTTTAAAAACCAAAATCACCGCCCAAAACCACACCCATTCACCACGTTAGTCAGGCGTATAATTCTGTAAAACCACAAACCCAAAAAGCGCATCCAACAGCTACATTGCGTCTGAGAATGTAGCTAAGTGTGCATTCCCTCCTCAGACGCACGATGTTGGAAGCGTGACAGCTGTAACAGACATCTGCCGCAGAACGTATGAAACCACCTGATGGTCCAGTGGCAAATCATCTCACAGAAACCAATCGCCATTGTCGATGCGGGCCGCGGCAGCCGGCGAGGCTCACCTGACGGTGTGGGCGCCGCTGGCCACGATGCTGGAGATGGGCAGGTGGCCGGTCCGCACTGCCTGAGGACCTATCACGCGGGGCGAGGAGGTGGCCGAGCTCGAGCCTGCCGAGCCGGCTCAGGTCAGTTCGGGTCAGCCGATACGTCACAGGCTCAGCCGGGGCGATGGGCCGGGGCGCAGCCAGGCCATCAGTGAGAATACTTGGGACAGGTGCCACAGCAGGGGGAACAACGCCAACGTAATCTAAAACAGCAACGACCAGGTGGTCCACTGCCAGCTCCATTTCAAAAAGCTGGTGCCAGAGCTGTTAGGTGTGATAAAAAAGTAAGGCACAGAGAAACGGCTTACACGTCAATGATCAACACAAAGTCAAAGTTAAAATATTGTCAGTACAATTTCTTACTGTCAGCGTCTAAGGGGCCGCACTCATCTAGAATAATTATCGATCTTATTTATGTTTGAGCAGAGGAGCTCCACGTGACGGCCCTGGGACCGCACCTCCGTGTACAGCCTGGGTACACCGATCCAGCCGGTCCCCATTCACGATGCAGGGCAGCTCGTAGCGACTTCGCTGTCGCGGAGGCGGGACGGGCGGTATCGTCAGTGCCGGACCGGACACTCACCTCTGGCCACGTGATAGGTGGGCTGCATGTGAGCGGTACCGGGGGTGGCCGGCCGCGACAGGCGCGCCCCCATGAGCGCGATGGCGCCGCCGCCCTGCACGCCCACTGCTGTCCGGTTCACCGTCAGCAACGGGTGGCTCAGCACGGTCACCGTCTCGGCTGCGGAGGCGGCGGCGGCGTCACAGGCGCCTGCATAGGGTACGTGCACACGCACCGCACGACCTCGCGTACAGATCGCAGAAGGCATGCAAGGTGAACACGCCGTGGCCGAATTACACTGCAAGTTTTTACAGCATAGCAGGAGCACCATAACACACACGACGAGACCGGCGCTACCCTAACTGACACGACAAGGGGGTCAAGGTCGATGGCCACGGTCAAGACATTTCTCCAGCTCGCCGCATTCAGGCAGGTCAGTTGCGAATGACGGTTTCCTCCCTCCGCTCTCCCCAGCAGGGAAGAGGGCTTCCCCGCCCGTCCGTTAGCCGTCTGGACGGGACACACCTGGCTTCTGGCTGACGCCGGCTGGCTGCTGTTGTTGTTGTTGCTGTTGCTGTTGCTGCTGCGACAGCGGCACCAGGCCGTGCCCGGCCGGGCGAGCCGGGGCGGGCCGGGCCCCGCCGCCGCTTGGCCCGGCGCCGCCCGGCCAGCTGCCGGACGACAGCCACGCCTAGCGACCACGGCCGGTGTCAGTGGGGAGGCGGCAGACGGCGGCGCAAGCCTGCGACGCTGTCCCGCCTCGTCTGACACAGCGCGCAGCGGCTGTTCACGCACAGTGTGCTTGGGCGCATTCGAAAAGACCAGAAAGACGTGTATCATTTCCAGCGAACGCAGGAGCGGCACGTAGACGTTGGGGTGTCCGCACGTGGCAGCTACAACCGGTAACAGATACGTTACATAGCAACGCACCCACACGCAGTGGGTCCTTTAATATTAACCTTGACTACAGCTGCCATGCGGGCGCTGTAAGTCGTTGGACAGCTCTTGCCTGCCAGCAACAGTTTACATGGAGAAAACTCTGTCCGGATCACCCGTACGCGGTCAAGACAAATGGACAACGCCCACCCAGTGGCCTACAGGGTGTGTCACCCATCCCTCGCCTACATGGGGTGCCAGCTGTCCCAAAAAGCTTTCTCTGCTGGCGGGCAGCACGGTATTCGAGCGGCCCTGCCGTCGACCGGAGGCCTGTTCGGGCCGGGGGTGTGGGAGAGGGTAGAGGGGACGTCCGGTGGTGGTGGGAGTGGGGAGAGGGTTGAGGGGACGTACAGCGGTGGTGGGGACAGGTTGGAGGGACGTACCGTAGTGGTGGGCGCCGTCGGCTCGTCCGACTTGGTCAGGTTGATAGCGCCGTGGTGCTGCTGCTGCGGCGGTTGGCCCGTGCCGGCCGCCTTACCGCCGCCCGAGTGACCGCTCATCTCGCCACCGTGGGCGGACTCTGCAGGCGCGACAGAGTCAGACCGCGGATACACTCTGCAGACGAGTCACTCAGACCGCGGGCAGACTCTGCAGACGGGCCAGTCAGACCGCGGACACACTGCAGACGGGTCAGCCAGACCGCGGGCAGACTCTGCAGACGGGCCAGTCAGACCGCGGACACACTCTGCAGATGGGTCACTCAGACCGCGGGCAGACTCTGCAGACGGGCCAGAATCAGACCGCTGACACATTGTGCAGACGGGTCACTCAGACCGCGGGCAGACTCTGCAGACGGGCCAGAGTCAGACCGCGGGCACACTCTGCAGATGGGTCACTCAGACCGCGGGCAGACTCTGCAGACGGGCCAGAGTCAGACCGCGGACACACTGTGCAGACGGGTCAGCCAGACCGCGGGCAGACTCTGCAGACGGGCCAGAGTCAGACCGCGGACACACTGCAGACGAGTCACTTTGACCGCGGGCAGACTCTGCAGACGCGACAGAGTCAGACCGCGGACACACTGTGAAGACGAGTCACACAGACCGCGAGCAGACTCTGCAGACGGGCCAGTCAGACCGCGGACACACCCTGCAGACGAGTCACTCAGACCGCCGGCAGACTCTGCAGACGGGCCAGAGTCAGACCGCTGACACACTGTGCAGACGGGCCAGAGTCAGACCGCGGACACACTCTGCAGACGAGTCACTCAGACCGCGGGCAGACTCTGCAGACGGGCCAGAGTCAGACCGCGGACACACTCTGCAGACGAGTCACTCAGACCGCCGGCAGGCCCTGCAGATGGGCCAGAGTCAGACCGCGGGCACACCCTGCAGACGAGTCACTCAGACCGCCGGCAGACTCCGCAGACGGGAACGAGTCAGACCGCCAGCACACTCTGCAGATGGGTCACTCAGACCGCCGGCACACTGCAGACGGGACAAAGCCAGGCCGCCGGCATACTTTGCGGACGGGCCAGAGTCAGACCGCCGGCAGACTCTGCAGACGGGTCAGAGCCAGGCCGCTGGCATACTTAACAGACGGGCCAGAGTCAGACCGCCGGCAGACTCTGCAGACAGGTCAGAGCCACACCACCAACAGACTGCAGATGGTCAGTCAGAAGACTGGAGACCCTACAGACGGGTTAGTCAGACTGCCCACAGATTCTGCAGACAGACCAGTCAGAACTCCCGCCCACCCTGCACGCAGACAAGTACGAGACAGGCAGAAGGCTCATCACACAGACCAGATTCAGACTGGTGACACACTCTCCATGCCCAATGGCGTCAGACAAGCAACTAACATGGCCCTGGATGAATCCACAGAGTTTGTGGGTCGCATAAGAGCCGTAACGAGCAACAGTGCCTCTGGCCAGGTTTGGGACCAAAGGCTCATTCCTTTGAAACATCCATACCAACAAGCACAACCCCAACTCGTGCCCTGACCGCAGTAAAAAAAGATGGGTTGGTAAATTTGGCAATTCTGTCTTGCTGTGGCATGTCATGACAGAATCATGTTACAGAAACAACGACAAATGGCGCTGATACACTGACAGGCCCAACTTTCAAAGCTGCATCTGGTGCAAAATTAGGCATAGTATAATGCAACTGGACATGGCACCATGCAAGCCGATTATCTCTATAACATTCATTGATGAAGTGATGACTTACGTGATTGGGTATGCAGTCATCACTGCAAATAAAGGGAGTCCTCCAAATTTTAGAATGTTGAGGCAGCCATGACATATGATAAAATAAGCTTGCTTATAACTTTCAGTATGCTTCATGGAAAGTGGAAAAGACTGCTCTAGACAGCAAAGCTTTTCTGTTAAGTAAATATGCTCCTCAACACACCAATGATTGGTTGTGCCATGAAACCTTTATTGATGTTGAGGTGTTGCCAAACTATTCATGCCAAACTGCCACCCTGGTGCTCCTTTGCCATTCCTCCAAACCGCCGAGAGATGGCAGTGGGGGTACTGGAAGGGTTCACTGAGCCAAATACCATGTGTTCGTGTTTTGGTCCTTTCTCATGGTGTTTTTACGTGGTGTTCTCATGGTGTTCTTATCTGAGAGCTTAAGATGTTAACTTGCATGTGCATACCTGGTTATGGCACTATTTCTATGTTATTCCATTACAAGCCTGATTTCTGCAAGTAGCAACTTTTCAACTTTGTATCTTACGTAGCATAAAAGGTGATTGAATATTGAACATCCCACCCCCTCCCTTGCTTTATCCTGAGCCCTTGCGAAGCCCTGCTTATCCGAGGCAGGCAGGCAGGGTTTATGGAGAACCAGCTAATAGATCCAATGAGGGCTTTGATAGTTGATACACTGGTGCAATTCCCAGACACCCTATGGTTGCAGTCTGTTTCAATGTACCATGCAGCCTACTTAAACACCAGGGAGCAATACCTCAAGCCTGTCAGATTCAAGTACTCTTGCATTATCCTTACCAGTAGGGAAAATAATGAAGCAAAAGTATCCCTCTCACTACCCTTGGAGGCAGTAAAAGTATTGTATTAAAAGGACTATTATGAATCTGATGAACCGGCACAAGAGCTGTATGTGGAATCCTTATTTCTTGCAAGTGAAAAAATGAAGTAATTTGACATATAGGACTTGCAGGTAAGACTCATGATGACACTTATGGGCATCCCCCAGAAGACAGTCACTAGAGCTGGAAACTTAACAAGATATGGTTTGATGACAAAACCATACTGAAATGAAAAATAATAATAGCACAAAATGTGTAAGGTAAAGTAAAACAGCCACATTAATCAGAAACAAGTTGGCTACAAGTTTGCCTGCATGTTATTAAATGGATAGTTTTTACATGTTATATGCTTACAACAATCATCAGAATTTGGTTCCTTCTTTCATCCTCCCTGCACAGCATTCAAAGTGAAAGCATAGGGGTGGCAGATAGGTGACAATGTGTAAAGGCACAGACAGCCTACAGGCAGAATAAGCCATGTTTATCATAAATATGTAACAGCTGTCTTTATTTCTGCAATATCATCTTGTCTGGCAATAGATGTGACTGCTCATGCAACCCCTCTATGGCCAGAAAACAATCAATTATGTTGAAGTGCTCAAACAAAACAAAAACATTGATCAAGCATGACCCATTTTGCTCAATCTAACTTCTACTGATTGCGCTGGACAGGTAAACCAGCCTAATCAGCTGCACACCAGAAAAGCATGCATCAGTATGAGAGGTTTTTTATCATTCATGTTGTGATCTGCTCAATGTATTTTTTCAAATGTGTGATTTTCACATTTGAAGATATTGAAGCAAGCATTGGATATGATGAAATAAGCTCACTTATAACTATTAGTATAGCTTCCATATGAAAAGACTGCTCTACACAGCACAATTATCTGCTTATTAAATATGCTCCCTGAGGTGTCATGGTTTGGTTTCATCATATTACCTTGCACAACACTGATTGAGCCAATTGGCAGCCAGCATATCTGGAAATCATGCTAACAAACACCAAGTGGCTTATGGAATGGTAGACTATGAATGATGCTTTTATGACATAATGAATGCTAAGATGAGTTTCAGGCCTTCAACATGGCTTTTTCGGTTCAAACCCCTGTATAAATGTGGACCACTCTCTTAACTGCTGTAAAGCTGGTAGTATTCAGATTTAATGTGAAGCATTTAGTGGTAAATCTGGTGTGATTCTTAAACATCCCAGATAGAATAGCAGGGTTATCAACAATTAGTTGGCAGAAATAAGATAACAAAAACTTTTTTCAGACCCCAGGCAATCAAATAATCAGCTGTGCCCCAAACAAATAGGTTGGGTACCCTATTTAGAGCAGGATCACACTTTCCCAAAATATTTTGATGACTGGCATGCTACATTTTGTAGACTGGCTTCTTTGCTATAATCTGATAACCATAACATCCCAAATAATAAATATCTAAAACAGGAAATCCCAAAAAAGGAAAGGGCCCTTAAATGGGCTAGGGGTGAGAAGCAGACAGGCCTGTTGCCTATCCCTTAGCCTGCCAAAAAAAAAATGCTACACTGAACATGACTGCTATGTTAACATGGTTGGAGAAGTAGCTGTTCAGACGTCCAATGCAGCCATGATGGCAGTGCACAAACACTTAATTTGGCATGTCCTATAGCTGAATTTGGTGTGCTGTGAAACCAGCTTTGATGCTGAGAACCAATACTTGAAGAAACTGTGATGCTGAGAAGTAGACTGTATGCAAAATTACCCTCCAAAAAATTAAAGCTCTGAGTTAATCTTAAAAGAGTACATATGTCCTGGCCTCGGTTTGGTACCAAGGTTCAGCATGCTGGTGCTGTGTAACTATTTGGCACCATGGGCATGTTCTTTGGCTGGCTAGCATGTCATGAAAGGAAAAGTCAAGGCTATCAAGGGGATGAGGAGAATCCGATGGGGAGAAGGTAAAGCACACACACATGAACAGACAGAACGAATTTCATTGTCTGTAATACCGATTTGCAAAGGCACAACAAAACCCATCCACCGAATTTCTGCATCAGCAAGTCATGTCTCCATGAGACAAGAGCTCGCTAAGTCTAACTTACCTTGGAAATGTGCTCAAGGCAAGTCCAAACCGGGCAATGCGATCAACCAGCCCCACAGCTACGATTCACATACTCCCTCCCACCTATCAGAAACCGAAACACAAACGGTTGTTGTTGTTGTTGTTGGTTAAGGGCGCATAGCCTCTCGGGCTCAGGCGTCCATCGTTGAAGTGAAACACAAACGGACCTGAAACAAAATGCGCCAATAGTTCGTCTGAGCTGCGTGATAAACGTAAGATAGCTACCAGCTCAAAAGGAAATATAAGTGAGCCTCTTCACGAAATTCGGCATAATTGCTTATAGCTCCGTGTCTTCCATCATGAGCACTGAAAATAATGATAATCTAAGGTAAAATACATTGGTTTGTGCCATTCTACTGAGCAAAAATAAACTAATTCGGTAAAGTTTTTACTTTAAATGGAATTATTTATCTAGAAGGATTTGGCAGTAATACGCGGCTACGAAAGCAAATCTCCGCTCGCAAATACAGCGCAGGATTGGTTGCTGCGTACTAAAATAACTTGTCTGGATTCTCAAAAGCCTGTGGGAGCCGTACGACGCATAATTCTCAATATTTGGGGTGCTGTTGGGTTTAGTGATAGAAATACATGCAGGCATTTCAGGCCTTAGTCGCGTAATCTCGATTCTTGGCTTGGCAAATTGCCCGGCGCGACAGTCGGAGATCCGTCTGCGCACCGCTCTGCGCAGATCTGGGAGTGTATGATCGGCGTCAATTCCGGTATTGCTGGCGGGCTGCCCCACTTGGCTGCATTCCGCATCTTGTAACCACCTGACCCCTATTACTCTCCGTATCGAGCGGTACGTATTGCCTGCCAGGAGGTTTCGGGTGTCTGTGACGTCTGTGGCCGGAAATCGTGAGAATCAGGCCTGCAGATGGCGTTGGCTGGGAGCCTACGTGGATCGGGACGGGCGTTGTGGAACTGGAAGAGTGGGCAAGCGTTCAGCACATCTTCCTTAATGGCTTCTAGAGGTGTGAGGAAGGAGTCTGATACCTTCGGTGAGCTAGACGTTCCTGCAGATAAGTATTATGGAGCTCAAACAAAGAGATCTATGCTCAACTTCCCAATTGGAGGGTCAAATGAAAGAATGCCTGAGCCTGTTATCAAAGCATTTGGTGTCCTGAAAAAAGCTGCAGCGGAGGTGAACAAGGAATTTGGCTTGGATGCAAACATTGCAGATGCAATCTGTAAAGCAGCAGATGAGGTTATCAGTGGTCAGCTATATGAAGAACACTTTCCTCTTGTAATCTGGCAGACAGGGTCAGGGACCCAATCAAATATGAACACCAATGAGGTGATTGCCAACAGAGCTATTGAGATGTTGGGTGGTGAGCTTGGAAGCAAAAAGCCTGTTCATCCAAATGACCATGTCAACAAGAGTCAGAGCTCCAATGACACTTACCCAACTGCAATGCATATTGCTGTTGCTGTGGAGATACACAACACTTTGATCCCAGGCATGCAAAAACTGCATGATGCATTGGAAATCAAGTGCAAAGAGTATGAAAACATCGTGAAGATTGGTCGGACTCACACGCAAGATGCCACTCCTCTTACGCTTGGGCAGGAGTTTAGTGGCTATGTACAGCAGCTGGCATTTGGTATTGACCGAATCAAAGCCACTCTGCCCCGTGTGTACATGCTGGCTGCCGGTGGCACAGCAGTGGGCACTGGCCTCAACACCAGGAAGGGATTTGCTGAGAAGGTGGCAGCAAAAGTGTCTGAACTGACAGGCCTGCCATTTGTCACTGCTCCAAATAAGTTTGAGGCATTGGCCGCGCATGATGCCATGGTGGAGGTCTCAGGTGCACTGAATGTCATCGCCTGCAGCATCATGAAGATTGCCAACGACCTGCGCTTCTTGGCGTCCGGGCCGCGCTGTGGTCTTGGCGAGCTGTCACTACCGGAGAATGAGCCTGGCAGTTCCATCATGCCCGGCAAGGTCAACCCTACCCAGTGTGAGTCCATCACTATGGTCGCTGCCCAGGTGATGGGCAATCACGTTGCTGTCAGCATCGGTGGCAGTAACGGCCACTTCGAGCTGAACGTGTTCAAGCCGATGATGGTGGCCAACGTGCTGCGCTCGATCCGGCTGCTGGGCGACGCGTGTGTGGCTTTCACTGACAAGTGTGTGGTTGGCATCGAGGTGAACCGCGAGCGCGTCGACCAGCTGCTGCACGAGAGCCTCATGCTGGTGACGGCCCTCAACCCGCACATCGGGTACGACAAGGCGGCGCACATCGCCAAGACGGCGCACAAGGAGGGCGCCACGCTCCGGGCGACAGCCATCAAGCTCGGCTACCTGACCGAAGCGCAGTTCGACGAGTGGGTGCGACCAGAGGACATGCTCGGCCCCAAGTAGGCTATGCGGCGGGGAGGGCGGGTGCCGTCGGTGTTCGCGAGGCCGCTGCGGCGCGCTTGCCGGCAATTTTGCCGCCTGCGGCCTGTTCCGTGTGATGCTGTCCGCCTTTTGGAGTCTTTATCGTAGTGAGACATGGCAATGGAAATAAAGTTTATTGGTGCGCGAACGACTGCTCATTGCGTGTTTATCACATAACGTAACATGCAGTGACGACGCGTCATAGGCAACAACGCATAATTCTGGACGTTGGACGAACACAGCAGCCAGTTGAACGAACACTCGAGCACGAGCTAGGCGAGATGAGGAACTACGCCATCAAAGGACGGACGCGCTCTAAGCAACACATTCTAGGCAGACTAAAGGCAAGCAAGGACCTTAGTTAACCAACGAGGGACAGCATCACTAGATCACCGCAGTCGATATATTTCAGCGTACGTGCGTCTGCGACATGATATTGATTGTCGCCTCCATCTGTCATGCACATCGAAAGGGTGGCGTAATTATGCAGGAGATGAAATCTGAAACGCGGCACATTTCGTAAGTTCAATGGCAACACCAATATAGGCTGAAACAACGCAACTGAACTACCGATGTGAACAATGCAATACCAAACAAGTTTCATAAACCGCCACAACAGGTCCGCATGGTCGGTGGCCAGCTTCTGGTTGACGTAGTCAGCAGTACACTACAAACGGTCAGCCCATTCACGTCACGTTTCAAAATGGCATGACAAAACGGAAACATAGTTCGACTAGGTTAATGCTCCGGGGTGCATCACGACAGTCGGTCTGGACTCTTGAACCACTGGGCGGAATTATGTTTTTACCCCGCGAGTTCAAGTCGCAAAGAAATGCAGGATTTCAGGCGGCAGTAAATGATGTGGGCGGCAAATGATTTCATGCGGCGGTAGTAACACCAACGTTATTTTTCCAACTAACGCATTCGATATATTTGACCTCGCATGGGAAAATCCGTTTCTAAAGCTGACGGTAGTAAAACTGACCTTTCGGGTCGCCCGTGACAGAGGCTTGGTCTAATCACCCGGAAAAGCACATCAACATCAGCACCGACACTGAAGCACTATGGCTAACACAAGCCAAAAATTACATTCATGCCTACATTAATTCTAAGTGCATGGGGAGGGGTGGGGGGTAGGGGACCCGGTTCAGGTGAGGCCGCGCCCACACGATCGTTCACCGGAACTAGCGCGATTCTGGTATTCGCTGCCAAACAGCTTCCTTTCGGTAGCTTCGCCACATAACCGTTTCTCAGCGTTCTTGACCCGTGCAGGGGGACATCAGCCGTCCGTAAGCAAGGCCGTAAGTTGTAGTAGTTCACCAAAACCTCGACCGTAGCCGGTGTGAAACGAAACCTCTGCATCGAAACAATATGGACCAATAGTGACCACATACCGCACTCATCTTCCCAGCTCGACACGCTAAGATTATGCCGATCCGACAGAGATCATGTCACTCGAGAGGCGATAGCGTTCTTTGGGTAGTCGCGCATCGCAGCTTTCTCATCCATGAAGGCGACGTGTCACGCCGCTTTTAGAAACTGGACATTGGTGTTATGGCATCGGCAGGAAAGATTCTCAGTGTGCGTATCTCCGATCTGTTTTGGAATGTCCGCAAAAACCTGATTTGACGTAAAAGGAGTGCATATCACCCACGGTTTGACGAGCTTCCATCACTGGTCAGCATCATCCTCGTCACCAATCACTTAAAGAGTGGGTACAACGCACACCCGATCAAATCAAGGAGCACACGGGGTAAAATCGGGTAAGCCAGCACGTCGCGAGCAGCGCTCAATAGCAGCACCCCTGGGGCGTGCGTTGACTAGTAAGGCGCGACTGAGGCGCCGGCGGCCAACCAGCGCCGGCGCGTCCGCTGGCAGCAGGGCCGGCCGCCGCCGAGGAGATAAGCCACGGCTGCACATCCGGGCCGCGGTTGCCCGCGCGCCCGGCCAGGCGGCGCGCAGTGACGCGCGCGGCGCACGCAGCGCCGCCTGGCGGGCCAGCCCGGCAACAGCGCGCTTAGTGCTCGCTCCAGTTGGAGTGGCTGGTGATGGTGTCGGTCCCGCGTTTGCCGTACTTGATGTGGATGAAGAGGAAGGCGACGCCGAGCACAAGACAGATGCAGCCAACGACGATGTACGCCACGCCCAGGAACGGGTTTTTGCCGCCCAGCAGGGACGTGGTGGACAGGATGACGCGCTTGGTGCCGTCGAACGACGAGACGGGGTAGTTGTAGTCGATGGTTATGCGGTAAAGGCCGCTGGGCAGGCTGTGCTTGAACGTCTCGGCAGAGTCGTTGACGCGGGCCCAGAGCTTGCGGAAGGTGGGCAGGGCGGCGGTGCGCATCCAAACAATCAGATCCTCATTCTCGTATCCGTTGTTGTGCGCGTCCTCGGGATCAAGCTGCCACACCGGCTTCGCCCAGTTGATCGGCTTCACCGTGTCCTTAAAGGCGCCCGTGCTGTCGAGGGTGCCCGGCGGGTTCTGCCGAGCGAGAGCAGTGTCACATGAGCAGGCGCCTTTACACATGGCAGCCACAAGCCCCTGGCTGGGGACGTGAGACACTGCGGAACACGTCCCGGTCCGGTGGCCGTACCACACCCGTGTAAGCTCCGAGGCCCTCGACGACCGGCATGGCATACAGATACGTACACAAATTTTGGAAATGGATTACAGGGTGGGCCCAGAGAAAATCTGGCCCGCGATGACTCTACCTATCACTAAAAGAACGCTTCCCCACCCAACGCTTCTAGCTGCTACCTCAATACTGAGCTATTGCTCAACACATGAAAGCAGCACAGACGGTGCCGGAACAGCGTTTTCTGAAGTCAGAGATCTCCACGGTATTGCATGGATAGCGGCTGCCGAAAAATTGGCGTTGAGTTAAGTACGTAGAAAGTTGCGGAATGTCATGCACACATATTTCACATTTTCGTGTTTCCTTGCTACAAGTGAACTTTCCCCATCACAGCGCATACTTGCCTCAATATCTTAAAACATGAACCATTTCCTTCAATCTTGGAAAGCTTTGCCTCAGCATGGACAATCTGAGAGCCCAGCAAGTATGAGTATGCTTTTACCAGGTATGTTCCGTCCAAAGCGTTCAGACCGAAGACATGCAGCAAACGAAGCATTACTGCAGTTATACGGGACTTGCTCGAGTGGAAAAGTTGCTTTTTGGGAGCATGATCTTTTTTAACTGTTTGAAATCCTGGGATCGCAGGTCGATTTTTTCCACTAACCTGACCTGACTTGACCTGACCTGATCAAGCATCATCACACACGACAGGATACAACTAACGACCACCGACGTGACAGCTCAGTGGGAATTCGACCAAGACAAACCACATGTATTGATGAACAATGCAACATACAGTCATGTTGCAGTCCTGAAAAATGTGGGATACATTTGACAACTAAGGCAACTAATGTTAAAAATCAAGCACAAATCATGTCATCATGTCAGGCATGTCCTTCACCTCTGAACGTGCATGTCTAAAAGTTCGAACGCTTTCTGGACATACATGTCACACGTCCTAATCAGAGCTCAGCCGAGAGCTCGCCACCTTACCTTGAACTTCTGCTCCTTGTCCGAGGGCCAGGCGATCCCAGTGCGCACCAGCTGCACTGTCTGCTCTGGCCCGGGACCCAGCAGCTTCAGCTCGAACGTGTCATTGAAGAGGCTGTTGGCAATGGCGCCGCATGGCGCGATCTGCTTCCCATCCAGCTTGTCGAACGGCGAGCAGTCGGATAGCGACGACTCCTTGCCCTTCAGCTGGTCAACGTCGCGTGACTTGACGTACCGCCGGTGGTTCTGGTAGAAGTTGGTCAGGCCGTAGTACATGTAGACGCGGCCGTTGAGGCTCTCGGTCACGTTGAGCTCGATCTCGCACGTGCACGGTTCGGAGCTGTTGCGGATGACCTGTTCGCATGGCGCACCAGCGTGGCGGGGGATCGAGCTGTTGCAGTATGTGTAATCATGCACCAGCTCCTGGACGTTGTTGGAGAAGGTCAGCAGCGCGATCCCGATCGGGATGAAGGCAACGCCAATGACGAAGAAGGCCGGCAGCACAGTGCCTGCTGTCAGAATCGGCTGCCAGGCTGGCAGCTGTTGTTGTTTGAACTTGTTGCTGGAGGGCCGCTTTGTCTTGCTCTGGTCCGAGGAGACGTCAGTTCCGGCCATGGCTGCGGCGCCGACACCTCGCACCCCCAGCAGCGGTCGCAGGTGACACTCTGGGGACATACCATGGCCAACTGACACCTCAACACAGCGTCACCAATGGAAAATAGACCATGTGATGACGCAGGGACACAGGTGACTTCTTACCAGTATTTAACCTCACAAAATGCTGAGGGGGAGTTAGTGATTGCTTCAGCTGTCCACTTCTTCTTTTTTGCCAACAGACTCTGATTACATTCAAGCTGTACACTGTTATTAATGTGTTGCACATTATATTAACTGCTGTAACCAATCAGAAGCTTCTAAACTGATACTGGAAATAGCATGGCTCAATTTGCCAAGCCAATGACATACTCAAGCTTATGACATGATTGATTATGCTTGAATTGTCAATGATTAGTCAGTATCTTTGGATTTTCCCTGGATTTGAATGGACTTGACCTTCTCCACCTGAAACAATGCAGTCTACATTTTTTGTTGAAAATCTACATGCCTGCTGCTAATAGTGCACCTTGCTGCACAGGGTTTGAGAGGAGATGTGTTACTTCAGATAATGGTCATGGAGATATCTAAAATTTAACATGTTTGGAACACCTTTGATGAGCCTGTAAAATGTTTGGTACATTGCGGGTTCATAATTTTCACCACTTTCATCTATTTCCTCTCCCTAAAATCCAGCCTTGTTCATTGCAATTAATGGTCATTGTTCACATTGGTACCTTACACTGCAATATCCATTTGCTTATGAACTGATGTTTTTTTAAGATATCAGACACCATAAATGATCATAAAACAGGTAAATTCTTGAGACACCTTAAAATCTTACCTTCAAGATAAAACAATTACAATGATAGTAGGTATCAGCCAAATGCTGTTCTGTCACACTGATGGCACTGCTGCTAATGAGAAAATGGGCTGCAGGGGATTCAATGGGGAGATTGGGCAGGATGATGGCAGCAAGGTTAGGTAGGGTTAGGTTAGGTTAGGTTAGGTTAGGTTAGGTTTGGTTAGGTTAGGCTAGGTTAGGTTACATTAGGTTAGGTCATGTTAGGTAAGGTTGGGTTAGGTTAGATTAAGTTAGCTTGGGTTAGGTTAGGCTAGATTTTGGCTCTTTTTCCTATTTTCCTTAAATGGTTTTTACAGAGAAACTGCATGCACATAACATCATTGTGGCAACGGTGCCAACAGGTGATGATGTCATGTCTCTGAAGTGCTTAGATGTAACCTATGGCTATCATTCAAGTTTAAAGGTTAGAGTGTACATGTACCTGTTTTCAGATTATCTACAACAGTTACTGCCAAAAGGGTTATTTATGTACAATGCTGTTTTGCAACATGAGATGCCTATGTCTACCTGTACCTAGGCAGGAAGTGAGAACTTATAACATATTTTGAAGCATCCGCGATATTAAAATGTACGAGCCGTGAAATATCGTCTGCACTCAGTCCGTCTGTGAGAGAAAAATGATAACGTAGCAATACTCACGACGCGCACAAATGCCTGCAACTTTCCGTATACAGACAATACAATCGTGGCGACCCTACAAGCTTATATGAAAACGCAGCAGCACCACAACTGCTAACTAGCCTACGGTAGCCCATATAAACAAGAAACGCACCTGGGGAAACCCCCGATACCCACCCAAACGCAGCAGATGCCGCAGCTCCCCTAAGACGGTCGACGACACGACGTAAATCAAATCACAATAACGTCAGAATTGTCGCAACGCAAAACCACCATTGAAGAAGCAATCAGCAAACTTTATTATTTGCAGTAAATGACGTCAGTAAAAATGATGTCGCATATTGTAGAATACCAAGCTTTTTAATCAAAATTAATAAATTATTTGGCCAAAAAAAACTTTGCATAAGAAATGAAACAACTTTTACTGATCAATTCGGCCAGATTTTGTCTTTAAACAACATAATTCAGTAGGTGCTCTCGCGTGGCGCTGGTGGTGACTGGAAGCTGATTGCCGTAACCTTGACTGCAAGCGACTCGCAATCGCTTTTGTCGCCATATTGGATTTCGGGAGTGGAATCGCCAGTGGGGTTCTGGATCAGCGTTGTATAATGAGGGGGACGCTGAATGAGTATAGCCAGTAGTGTATTAACAGGTGTCGAAGTGGGATTTTTAAATCCGGCAGTTTGTCTGTTGTTGCATATCCGTAACTGAGTATCGTTCAAGACATTGATATCCTGTGAAAGGTACGAATGTAACCTCATGATCACATGGAGGTCGTGCGGAAGAACCGTGATTGTGAGGCAATTGCGAGGTGGCATTTGTGTCCTTGCTCGTGTGTGCATAGGACTCAGGCTAGCCTAAACTGTGCTGGATTTTCAAATATTTTGTTTTGTGGAAAAAGGCTTTGGTATAGTCTATCTGACAACCTGTCTGCCCTAACATCATTATTCCCAGTAGCATTTCCTCTCTGTTCTGAGATTTGTGATAATTATGTGCTAAGCTCTGGATGCTCAGGTTTTCTGTGTGTATGCCCTTATAGTTATACTGTGGTGTTTTTGCTCTACCTGACACGTCCAGCTTAGCATGAAGACTTGCGGCCTGGCCCAGGGGGGTGTCATCCGTATCGTTTAGCATTATCAAAAAGTGGCAACATCAAGGTTGCGTGAGAATAGAGGTAGTTTGGAGGCAAAGCCTACATGACGTCATGTATACCATATTTGATGACGTCAGTGGCACGGAAGCCTCTCAGTTAGCCAGCTGACTGCTACACAACCCATTGGTTTGAATGGTGAGTATGTTTTGGGGGCGTGCGGCTGGCGCTTCCCGGTTGGACTCTGAATGAATGGTCCATGGTTTTGTCATGCAAACACAATTCTGGAGGGGAGGTTGAATCTCAGAATAGTTAAACCTCATCAGAATTTTGTATTCTTCCATGGGGTGTACATAACTAGGGGTTAAATGTCATGCAGCATTTGTAGCGCATGGCGTTTGTAGCGCATCGCATATCGCAGTCGTTTGGAGCTTTATTTCAGAGGGTTGCAACCAGTTGCCTTGACTACGCCTTGTACAAGAGATCTCCTGTGCAGTTTGTCTTGAACGATTGGTAGCATTGAAAATGCTCGGTCTGTGAATATTTAATTATGCATATGCGTACAACCCTTAAGTAGAAAACACTTGACTGTAACATCATAAGGCCAATATCATAGGGTTCTACTGTGCTTACCTTACTTTACTCACATCACTGTGATATGAGGAGTGGGAGCTATTACAAATCAGTAATGCAAATGGTCATATAATCATACCTATAGACAGAGCAAATTATGCAAGTTGAGCTGTTCAAATCTGCCACCAGGCACAAAAGGCACAGACAAGCCTAAGGCTATCTAACGACAAGCCAGCCTTGGACAAGCCTTGTCATGGAATGCAATACACCACAAACACCGCATGACATACAACCCCAAGTTATATCATACATGCAAAAATCGTACATTCTGATTAGGCTTAACTGTTCCAGGACCCCCTGTTCATTCCAGAAATGTGTGCGAATAGCATTATAGCAAAATGACGGATAACCTCTTCTCAGTCCAACGGGGAACCGCCAGCCGCATGCCCCCAAAACATACTCACTATTCAAACCAATGGGTTGTGTAGCAGTCAGCTGGCTAGCTGACAGGCCTCCGTGCCACTGACGTCATCAAATACGGCATACTTGACGTCATGCAGGCCTTGGTTCCAAACTACCTCCATTCTCACGCAAGCTCGATGTTGCCACTTTTTTGGACCGGACAGTTCTACCTCGTTAGAGAGCCTTGGCCTGGCCCCAACCCGGTCTGCAAAAATTCCATCTGCTGTGCCGGGTGCATGTGTGATGCCAGTGTGCTAGATATCACACTTGAGTGCACAGGGCTGAGGCTAGTGAAATTGCACAGAATTTACATATGCTTGCTGATTTGCACACATGTAAAGTTTCCTGAGCTTGCCATCAGGAAATTTTTATGTTAATCTGTGAGAGGTCATTTTGCAATATGTTTAGATGTAGTCTATAATTAAATTTGGTTGGCAAAGGCAGAGAATGAGACAAAATGCAAGCAAAAAGAAAATAAGAGGCAAACAGTAAATCTTCTGGGAGAAGGTTTTATTAATTAGATACATTTTGAGTGTAAAATCAGTGGAGTTGAAATTATGTTTGGTTGGGAGGCAGCATAATTATTATGTTTATTTTGGTAATTAAGGCTCAAAAATTGTTCAAGGAAACATTGCTCTTATGGTGAGATGTCAAAAGTGTTGAATGAGTTGAATCTTATTGTTTTAGTTTTTAAATGTGACTCAGATAGTACACATTTTTGACTAAGGACAACCAGCAGGATGACTAGGCAATACATGCAATTCTCATAATGGCAGTCCTATTGTTTGGACCACAGTTAAGTGGGTGCTTTGTTGGAAGTGTCCTTTGCTAAAAGACTGAGGTGTGAATCTGATGATTAGTGATCTAAACATGGAATGAAAAGGAGTGAGTCTGTACTAAGGTATGTTAATATTACTGAGCACCAAACATTGCTCTTTTTAAAGTTAGTGGGAGATGCTATGAAAATTTGAGAGATAGATTTATAAATGGCAATGAACTTGCTGCCATTAGGTGGTATTCATGCTTGATTTGTTTATACCCCCTGAGACATATTGTTGTCTTGCAGTATGTTGAACTTGACACATTGTGTGGCTGACATGCCTTGGTTAGCAGGATTTTTGCTTACACCTCTCTATTTTGCCATATTGAGCCTTTAATCCTTACATCCTACTAATCTTTATCCTGCCTTACCATTCTCTTCCCTTCCTATCAATCATCTCATCATGTAGATGATAGTTATCATGCATTATGATACTGATAACTGCCATTGTGACGTTTAGGTACATTTGGCTGTAAAGGCCGTTGAAAACTACCTCATTGATGTTCCCAGTGACTCATTTCGTGGCCATTGCTCTGATTATTTACCTCATTGGTGCAATTATTTTGTGGGAGTAAGTTTTAATCAAATCTGAAACATCCTTTTGAAGGTGGCAGTTAGTTCTACACATAGGATTATTGCAGCATCTGGCCGCACGGTAGGTTATTATCATGTATTTTGTATGGCATTTACAGGTCAGGATTCTATCTGGTGTGTTGATGGACGCCTTGGCTGGATATGAGAGTGATGGAGATTCAAAGGTGGGTTGATGGCATCTGCACATGAGGATGCCTGTTTTGACTGTTGTGCTGGTAGTCACTGGAAGTGCACCATGAGTTAGTGTGATAAGAGGGTGGTCATGGTTAGTTCCTGGGTGAGTAGGTTCAGGTTTGAATGCAGCATCATTACCTTTTAAGCATCCTGGGTCATCTGTTTGTGGTAGGCATGGTTGAAGTGAAATGCAATATTTCTCTTAAGTAGTCGGCTAGAAATTGACCATGTGAATTTGCATTGCTGATGTCACTGTGGATGATGTTTTTGTTTATGTACTCCTGACTTGTTGTTTTAATATGTGCGACTCAAGGCTTATTGCCAGCTTTACTGTAAGTAGTTCACTTGCAACATGTGTAAACAAGCATTTGCACACTTGCTTTCCTGTGCTCAGTGAGAAAATGTAGAATTTTGAGTTACCTATCTTTTTCAGTTTGATTGATGGTTCTAGATGCTCTGGATATTGTGGTACAAAACAAATGAAACAGGTGCAAAACGTAAAAACGGTCGGAAGCGTTCGAATTCATGTGTGTGTGTGTGTGTGTGTGTGTGTGCGTGCGTGCGTGCGTGCGTGCGTGCGTGCGTGCGTGCGTGCGTGCGTGCGTGCGTGCGTGCGTGCGTGCGTGCGTGCGTGCGTGCGTGCGTGTGTGCGTGCGTGCGTGTGTGTGTGTGTGTGACATGCAGCCCGTGCAACATGACAATTCAAACGTATGCTCCGTAATACGTGCGACCGCAGCATTTTACACGCCACATCTTTTCGTGTCACGTCCAGGTCGCCCCGACCTGCCGTTATCGAGATATTGGCGCGGGAAGGCATAATCGGTGGTAGGCAGGTAACTACGGCGGTCAGCCATGGGATCATACGGCCGTTGAACATCGAATCACCGCTGGTGTCGGCTGAGACAGTGGACAGCGCCGTTCGTCGCGGTGCAAAATGCCGCCACGCAACCCAGTAGGCTAGGCTCATTTGGGAGCGAATCATTTAAAATGTGATTAACAAAAAAGGGTGGCTAAGAGAGGGAATGAATCGGCCAACACGCCGATGTATTTTTCAACGCTAGATTACGAAACATTTTGACGGTAACGGCTTGCATTCGGCGCCGACTTTTAGAATTTGGCCGCTTGCCAATTGCATTGCAATTAACACCGCAGCGGCGAGTTGCACAAACTCGGGATGTGCACTGAAAGTGTAGCTGCTTAAATTATAAATGCTGGGAAGAAAATACATGCCTCTACCTGCACTGTGTGCCGACAAATACCCCAAAACGTAAAAATCTGTCAAAACCGGGAAAATTTATCTTTTCACCACATTTATACGTGCCACGTACAGCGTGGCAGCACCAATGCGATGTCATCCAATGGCACTTTTGATTGTCTATCTGAACGTGGAAGTTTCATGTCGCTGCGATCCTTGGTTATCGAGACATGGCTCCGGGAGTGGACGCGGGTCGTGCCGTCGTCCGGTGGTCGCGAAAGTTGCTTCGGCCGTGTAAAGCCGATGGGGATTTGGCCATCTTTTTTCCTCACCACGGGCTCGTTTTTGCGAAATACGGAATCGGACTTGCCACTCCCCGCTTTGTCAGATTTCTGCCATATCTTTAAAATGGTAAGTGAAAGTAAATCGGAGTTGCTGTCTACAGGTTCTGAAACTGCAGAGGTGTAAAAATGATGTAGTTATGTGCGGACTCAGCTCGGCATTTGCTTGTGGAACATGATTTGGGCAGTTGTATTTAAATCCCATTATTTTTGCAGATGTCCACCGACAAGTTGGCAAACTACGAGAATGTTGAGATGGACATAAGTGAGGTGAGATCATGCGCACACTTTTTCCCCTTATGTATCGTAAAACTCGTTTTTTTGTTTTACATTTATCATTATTTATGTGTCCACACCAGGTACGTGTTACTGGGAAGGCAATATTTGGTCGGATTCTCCAGGTAATGGCTGTGCAATATTTTATGTGTTTTGGCAAGTCAGTTCAGTTGGGAGCACATTCTTGCAGTGTACCGGTGGCATTATCAGCTTCATGTTTGAGAAACCGAGCATTGCCAGTGTCGAGAGTTGTTTTTGGGGGATGCAGATCAGTGTATGCGTTTGCGGGATCGCGTTCGTGATATTAACATATTCTGTTAAATTACTATATGTAAAGTCAACTGTGGAACCCTCGGGCCAAGGGCCGCATAGTCGTCCGGTGGGTTCAAGACTGCGGACACGTAAGTACCAACACGGTGACGTATAACTCAGCCACAAATGGTTCCTCTGTTCTCGTATTGCCGCGCGCATTGTCCTTGAAGTCGCTGTTAGTTGTATCAGTACCTTTTAAGTCAGCCCATATGCTTTGTTGTAATGGCCTTTGTAATAAGCACACATGTAATATGAGATTGTGGCACTTGGTTCTTAGTTATCTGATCTCGGTACTCCCGTGTGTTAAACAATAAAGTATGTGTGTTTGATGTGAGATCATTGTCTGAGAGTGCTTAAAGACCGGAGTATTGGCGAATGGTGCTACACGAGTGATATGTTTACAGTTAATGTGTGTTGTCTCAAAGTTATTTAGAATGTAAAGTTGTGGGAACTAACGGTGTGGTTTTCGTTGGCATCGTTTTGCGATTGAAAACCTTTTGCAACAGTATTTCGGTGGTTTAAATACTTGAAGGGGTGGTGCTGGGATCAGCTGCGGCTGAGGATTGCGTAGTGGGAAGACCCTGACCTGAGCCTGATCCCACTAACCCACCACAACAGTTCCACTCCAGTGAAAGGTTGTTGACCTTGGTCTGTTGCTATACATTGGGGAAGTATTTCTCCGTGCTCGGCAGCGTCTTGGTGCGGTCGTCGCGTGCGGCTTTGCAGTGTAGTTTCAAAGTTAATCCAGTTAGATGCCAAGGATTTAAATATAACTTCATGTTACCAGACTTATTGCCCCCGGCGGCGTCCGCGCCCGTAACATTTTGTGAGCTGTCAATTTGTTGCATTTTGACCCCGAATCCTGACGTCCTGGCGTTGCCCGCCTGAATTGCCAATCCCGAGGTGCCCAGATGCCGGGTTTTCGGCCGTCCGGCTCGATCCTGAGGGACGATCCCAGTGAGAGGTGGAGCGACAGACAGTGAGCCGCGCCGGGGATGTGATGGAATTAATAAATATCTGCTTCGGGCCCTTTGATCATGTACTTGGATGCCGTTGGCTCGTGTTTTGTATCGCATAGGCATAAACTTCAGCCTCGGCTTTCGGTTCATTTGCATTTATTTTATAAATATTTGAGGGCATTTCGCTGGGTGAGACATGGTGACATTTTCCCAGTCCTGGGTTGGCGTAAATAATGATGTTCGTAATCCAGATGTAAGTGATACATACTAAGCCGGCATATATATTTCGGACAGATTTAGCCGCCATGATAGAAATTTGAGCACAGGGTTTATTTGTAGCACTTTGAAGGGCAGTTACCAGTGACCCGCGGTACACTGGCACCAGCTCAGGTTTGACGCTTTTTACCATGTGGCACCTGAAGTAGCTACTGTTTCTCGCATTGGAAGTCTAACTTAAAAGAATCGGCGAAGTGGTCACAAAAGCAGCTTGGTTACCATTCTTAAGTCTGGTGACAAGAGCGCAGCTTAAGTGGCAGACTATTGCATCTATACTCCGCACCTCTACAGTTCATGGTATCAATTCTTCCGGATGCGTAATGACTTAACACTGTGTCTGAAGGTTCTCGTAATTTCGTGTTGGTTCTCGGTCATGACCATTTCCGTGCTGTTGTGGCGCGAGACAGCGGGCTGGCCCCCTGGCGGGGACCCGTGCCGCCGTTTGTCAGGGCCGGTGTTTGATGGCTCCCGGGCGCCGCGGTCAGGATTAGCCAGCCGACTGATGGGGCGGGTGGTCGGCGTGTCGGCCCCCGCCGCCCGCGCCACAGTCAGGGGCAGGGCCACAGTCAGCAGCGAGCGTGCCGACATGCATGTCTGGCTGTGTTTGTTCGCCGTGTCGGTGGTGTCGGGCCGTCGCTGAGCGCTGGTCGGCCCCGCCCTGGACTCTGTTGGAGACGGCGTTCGCTCTGTCGGCAGGACTCGAACGACGCCGAGCCGCCACGGCCGGCGCCCCGGGACGCACGCGGCACCGCCCCCGCCCCCGCGACCGCCGCTGCCTCCGCCGCCGCCGCTGCCGTCCGCCGTGAGCCCAGGTGAGCGTCGCCACGCGCTAGGCCGCTGGCCCCAGAACGGCACGCAGTTGTATTGCATTCTTCCGTTTTCTGTACAATGGTCACAATAAAGGCTGTGTTGAACTTCCGTGTTCCGTCTTAGACCTCATACAGCCGAGTGTCCATCTGTTGTGTCGTGATTTATGGGCGAGCTTTAGCTTGAGAGGTGTTACGTCTTGAGCTTGAGTGCGTCTCACGCCGTCGTATCTCGCGCCGTGATATCGCAGAAAGAATGTGTCGTGTGCTCCGTCGGGACCACGCGCGGACGTGGCGTGTGCCCCGTCCGGACCATGGATGTGTCGTGTACTCCGTCCGGACCATAGACGTGGCGTGTGCCCCGTCCGGACCATGGATGTGTCGTGTACTCCGTCCGGACCATAGACGTGTCGTGTGCCCCGTCCGGACTATGGATGTGTTGTGTGCCCCGTCCGGACTATGGATGTGTTGTGTGCCCCGTCCGGACTATGGGCGTGTCGTGTGCCCCGTCCGGACTATGGATGTGTTGTGTGCCCCGTCCGGACTATGGATGTGTTGTGTGCCCCGTCCGGACTATGGATGTGTTGTGTGCCCCGTCCGGACTATGGATGTGTTGTGTGCTCCGTCCGGGCTGTGGATGTGTTGTGTGCCCCGTCCGGACTATGGATGTGTCGTGTGCCCCGTCCGGGCTATGGATGTGTCGTGTGCCCCGTCCGGGCTGTGGATGTGTTGTGTGCCCCGTCCGGACTATGGATGTGTTGTGTGCTCCGTCCGGACTATGGATGTGTTGTGTGCCCCGTCCGGACTATGGATGTGTTGTGTGCCCCGTCCGGACTATGGATGTGTTGTGTGCCCCGTCCGGACTATGGATGTGTTGTGTGCCCCGTCCGGACTATGGATGTGTCGTGTGCTCCGTCCGGACTATGGATGTGTCGTGTGCCCCGTCCGGACTATGGATGTGTTGTGTGCCCCGTCCGGACCATAGACGTGTCGTGTGCCCCGTCCGGACTATGGACGTGTCGTGTGCCCCGTCCGGACCACCCACTGACACGGCTCCCGTTACGGTAGCCTGTGCTGTTTTCAGGGTCTGTGGATCCGGCACTGGCAGTGGGATGGCACCTGACGCAGCCGCTTCCACCATCACTGCCACCACCACCGCGCCACCGCTGCCTACCACGACCACCACGGCCCCGGCGGACTCCAGCCGGAGGGAGCCGGTTCCGGGCGCGGCGGCCGGCCCCGGCGCTAGTCACGACAGAGACGGCGCCCGCCGCGAGCAACGCGACAAACGGGACAGTGATAGGGACAAACGGGACGGTGAAAGGCCCAAACGGGACGCTGAGAAGGACAAGCGTGACGGTGAAAAAGATAGACGGGATAGTGGAAAGGACAAGCGGGAGAGCACGCGGGAGAAACGGGAAGAGGAGAAGAGCAGGCATGGCAACAGTCGAGACAAAGAGCGTGGCAGGGATTCTGATCGTGTTAAGGATAGCGAGCGTGGCAGGCGGGACAGCGATCGTGATAAGCGCGACAGTGATCACCACAAGAAGGACGGCGACCGTCACAGGAAAGACAGCGATCGTCACAAAGGCGACAGCGACCGCCACAAGGGGGACAGCAAGCGCGAGTCTGATCGCGGCAAGACCGACCGTCGGGACGGCGACCGAGATAAGCGGGACGGGGACCGGGACCGGCGGGACAAGCGGGACAGCGACAAGGACCGGCGGGACAGGCGGGATCGGGACAAGAAGAGCGTGCATGACCGGCGCGGCAGCCGGGATGATGACCGGCGAGACCGGGACCGACACTCCAGCCGGGACCGGGACCGGGACCGGGACCGGCGCAGCCGGGACCGACGCTCCGATAAGAAGAGCTCGCGCAGCCCCGACCGCAAACGGCACGCCAGGTGTGTGGCGACCGCAGTTTGGGCACGCACCCGTGATTCGTTCTGTGGTGTCGGTTCAACATTTCATCAATCTGCGATTGGAGTGGTGTACTGCCGTGCTTGCCTTTTCAGACACGATATGTGCCTGCACTAATATGGATGCTTTTGGGTTGTGTTGGAATGGTACATCAGAACGTCAGAATCACTTCAGAATGACACGTCATCCATGTGTAAGGTATGATGTTTGTGTGCTGGACGTGTTTCAGCTCCGAGGAGGGTGGAGACAGAAAGCGGCCCCTTCCGGTGGCGCCGGGGCCGGCCTTGCCGGCACCCTCCATGCTAAACCCCTTCCCTTATAAAAAGAAAAGTCCCGGACCAGACAAAGACAAAGTCAGAGAAAGGCTGGAGAAGCTGCGGAAGCAAGGTATGTTCGCGGCGTGTGCAATAGTCACGCATTACTGGTTCGAGTGCATGGGCGCCATATGACCGTGGTAGTCGGCGTGCCCAAAGCCCAAATCACTATCATCACCAGTTTAGGTGAACCGGGCAGCGGTCCATTGTGCAAGATAAGTTTGCGACAATTCCGTTTCGAGCATCGCGGTGACGTTTTCTGGTCAGATTCCTTTGCTAGCTTCCATTGCTGTGCAAATATGTGGCGCGTGTTCTTTTCGCCACGCATTGTTTTTTTTTTATTTCGACGAGTTAATGCCAGGTGCCGTCTTGTCATCCTGTCTATGGCCCATCCCCCCCCCCCCTTTTCTTCCGGCGCTGTCTTGTGTCAGCATCATGTCTATGGTCCATCCCCTCGGTTCTAGCGCTGTCTTGTGTTAACATGTCTATGGCTCCTCCCTCCGTTCTTTTGGCGCTGTTTCGAGTCCCACCTTGCCTTGTGTCCGACTCTGTCCATGCCCAGTGCCGGTCCGTATCCACCTGGTCCGTGTCCGCCCTTGGTCCGTTCCAACCCTGGTCCATGTCTGAGTCTGGTCTTTGCCCGCCCCCGGTCCGTGTCCGATTCTGCTCCTTGTCCGCCCTCGGTCCGTGTCCGTCTCCGGTCTGTGTCCGCCCCCTGTGTGTGACTACTCTGGCCCTTGTCCGCTCGTGGTCCGTGTCCGACTCTGGTCGGTGTCTGACGCTGGCCCGTGTCCGAATCTGGCCCGTGTCCGGCGCCGGTTCGTGTTCGCCCGCAGCCCGTGCCCTACTCTGGTCCTTGTCCTGCTCTGATCCTTGTCCGACTCGGGTTCGTGGCCTACTGGGGTCCGTGTCCGACTCTGGTTCGTGGCCTGCTCGAGTCCGTGTCCGCCTCTGGTTCGTGCCTGACACTGGCTGGCGCCGGGCGCTGGCAGGAGGCCTGCAGACGTACCAGCAGATCATGAGCGGGATAGCGCAGCCGCCGGTCGGCTCCATGCTGCCGCGTTACTACAATCAGACGGCGCTCAACGCCGCCAAGTTCGCCGACCAGGAGCGCAAGAAGAAGCTGCTCTGGGGAAACAAGGTGAGGCGCGGGGTCGCCGCCACCGCGTGGGATGTGCCCGGAGTGCACTGAATGCGCAACGAATACAAAACACCCTGTGAAAACGGAGGCGTTTGTTGGCTGTAGATGTGTAGTTCATATGAATAGATGTGTATATATATATATATATATATATATATATATATATATATATATATATATATATGTGATATATTTGTGTGTGAAATTTTGTGTTTGCATTCAGCTTTTATTTTTCGGAACTCTGGTTGCATGCTGTCTGTCTGACCACCGTCGCGAACATGACGTGCTCCTCATTTGGCCACGCCCACTGCCCTGGATTCTAGCAGACACATGCTATTTGTCATCCAGTCAGTGCGGTCGAGCTTCAGCCGTTCTCGCGGCTGACCTGCCCTCGGGCATTGGCGCCTCGGCAGAAGGCGGAGCTGGACCAGCAGCAGGCAGCTACGGCGGCGGAGGTCGCTCCCGGCGCCTGCGCGGCCGGCGTGTGGAAAACGGCCGCGTTCGAGCAGGACAAGGACGGCAAGGTGGCCACCAAGTTCCTCCGGCTGATGGGTGTAAAGAACGCCGAGGGTACGTGTCGCCTGTTGGCGCCCGAGGGCAAGGTGGAGGTCCTGATTTCGATGTTCCAGTCACATGTTCAAAAGATCCATCTTGCATGTGTGACTGGTATTAACTTAGCAGTTAAAAACACTCGCAACTAGCTTGGCGCGTATGTCAGGCTATGTTCCCTTTTCTGTAAAAAATAATATGTCTGACATCGCGACCCAATCAAAATAGTCATAACCCTATACACACTGTCGTGTTCAGTGTTTTAGGACTTTGAACCGTTCATATCCGCCTTCCGTTGAGCATTTCGCCGCCTGACGTGAGCTTAAGGGCAACACACTTTACACCAAGCACATAGGTCACTGATCCGTTATAGCGGCAGTCAATAGCGGACAGTGGGTTGCAACATGAGCTCACTGACTTTTCTTCCCGACTTCATCAAATTGTCACGGAGCCGCGTCATATTAATGGTGTAAAGAACGTATGAATCACGGACGACAGGGACAAGCTGCGCATCATGGCTGTCTCGCTCCGATCAGTCTGCGCGGAGCTCGGTGAGAGGCCAACGGCGGCAAGGCTACCGAACGGCCATCAGGTGGCCACATTTGGGTCTTTATTTATCCCTGCTTTGCACAGTGACAAAATCATGGGGAAAATCCTGAGTTCTTCAGAGTTGAGGACAGTGTGTGCCGTGACGTCACTGGCTGGCGGCGCTGCCTGTGGGCGCTGTGACGTCATTGGATTGCGGCGCCGTTTTCTGGGCGCCGTGACGTCACAGGACAGTGGCGCTGCCTGTGGGCGCTGGCTATAGGCGCTGTGAAATCACTGGATGGCGGCGCTGTTTGTGGGCGCCGTGGCGTCACTGGACAGTGGCGCTGCCTGTGGGCGCTGGCTATAGGCGCTGTGAAATCACTGGATGGCGGCGCTGTTTGTGGGCGCCGTGGCGTCACTGGACAGTGGCGCTGCCTGTGGGCGTTATGACGTCACTGGACAGTGGCGCTGCCTCCGGGCGCTATGACGTCACTGGACAGTGGTGCTGCCTGGGCACCGTGCTGACGGCCTCTCTCTCTCCCGGACAGAGGTGGCCTCCCAGAACACAGAGGCGTCCGAGGTGGTGGAGAAACAGAAGAAGATGTTCCAGGACATGGAGCAGCAATACGAGCAGGCGCGCGTCACCACGCACACGCAGAAGGGCTTCGGGCTGGGCTACACGACACAGTACTTGCAGCCCAAGTCGTAGTGACGCGCCAGGGGCCTGGCGCCCTCGCGGCGCTGTGCGCAGCGCACGGCACGGCGAGCGCCCCGTCGTGTGGTGCTCCCACGAACTGTGTCTCGTCTGCGTTTTACGCGTTCTCGGTCGACCGCGACATAGATCACACAGTGTCGACTTGCCGACAGTGTTGTCAGCTGACGTATGTTATGTGGTGTTCCTCTGTGAGAGACAACCTGTGCTCGTTGTAATCGCTCATTGGCATTCTGCATCGATTTGCCGCTGGGCAGGGCGACGGCAGTGGGGCTGCGGCAGTATCTGCGCCCGAACTGCTCGGCAAGCCTCGAATAAGGATTGGTGCCAGCTGCCGATCGGCTAGTGCGGGGTCGACTAATCCATACGCATGTTGTTATTGCCTCGTGTGTGTGTGTGTGTGTCCTGGCTGCCACGGACTTGCTCGTGCATTACAGTCGACATGGAGCTCCCGCCGTGTTCGGTAATAAATCTGTAGAACGACGGTGGCTCTTTCGCCGAAACACTGCCGGGAGGGCCATCTTTCCTGTTGGGGTGCCCTTTCACTTACTGACGTCGCATTGCACCTCTGCTAGTTGTCTCGTATATGAATGGAGTGCGGCCTTCACTTGGGGATGGAAGTACAGTTGCCGCTGTCAGTGTGCGCATGAACAGCAATATATGTGGCAAGCGAGGACTAGGAAGATTATTTTTGGGAAGACGGGCTGTGCATCGGAATATTCACCAGCGCATGAACTGGGGTCCGTCAACAAGTTCTATTCCTGGCCTCTCAAGATCACATTAAGGTCAGATTCGGGCTTAAATGACTCAAATGGACCAAAAACTGCATATCACGCAAAGGACGTGAACTTCTTATCACTCCAAAGTTACCAGTAGATTTTCATCCTTAGCATCAGATCGTCTTCCGCGCGTATAGGTGCGTCTGTAAAGAAGCCCTGACCTCGCAGTCATCCTTCAAGGTCAAATTACGGCTCGGTTGACGTACGTGGAACTGCATGCGCAGTGGAGCTTCCCGTCCTTGTCTTGCCGGAAGTCAACCTCGCATGGTGACGCTGGAAGGCCAGGACCCTGACGGACAATAGGCCATACGATAGGGAATGTTCTGTTTACGAATCCGAGGTTGTCCAGGAAGTGATTGATTTTGAGCTCCCCGACCTTTGGTCCTGAACTTTATCGAAGGATAGCCTAAAAAGGGTGGTGCATTTTGACGGACGCTGGGTCGTGCGCTGGTGGACATTCTGGGGCTTCAAAATCCAAAATCAGCCTGTAGCTTTTAAAGGGTAACATTTAAAGGGAGTGTTCGACATTTGTATGGGGCTTCGAAATGGATAGTGATCACGGAGATCATTCGGTGCAGTTCGCAGCCCTGCCCCTCTTAAGACCTAAATCGCTCTAGTTTCTGAACTAAGATGTGCAGACTATTTCGGGGAGACTATTTAAAGGTAACCTAGGCATCCAAGACGTCATTATAACGTCATTAGACCCTGGCATTTCTTAGGCCATGCGATCCAGGCCAAAAAATAAATTGTCGAGCCACTCATATCCGGCGTTCGTGAGCGTGGTTTACAGATAAAACGGCCGTCAATTGGTTCCCAATCAATGTTGTGCAAGGCACGGTCCCGTAATCAAATAATAACGCGTCGAGAAGCACATTTGCTAGCCAGAGAAAAAGTGTTGTGCAGAGCAGTCTTTTCCACTCAAAATATGCAAATGGTTTGTGATGTGATTGTGCAGGGTGTGCGCCCTCGCCCTCGCTGTTTTCCGAGCTCTACATCTGACGGGGTGCCAGGAGGCGTCACGTAGCCGCGGATTTCCTGATTCGCCGGGGGTCAAGGGTCGGCCGCTGAGGCGGCGGCAGGAACCCGACGCTCGCAGGCGCCAGTCGGTTTTTTGACAACTCCAGGCGGATACATGCTACGTTCTATTACAAGCTATTTCGGCCATCATGCCCGAAATCGCCGCGGCCAGTTGCCACGCTGTGACAATGACTGCTGCGAGTGTCCCAGCGCCAGTGATGTCGATTACTACGGCCGGAGTGGACAGAGGGGCCGCGGTGACTGGTGGAGGTCCATTCGACGCGCGAGTCATCCCCGAGTGCGATGGCACGGCCGACGTCGTAGAGTGCTTCACAAGGGCGGCCGTGCTCTGCCGTCATCGTGGAGCGGACTTGCCCAGCATTCTGCCGGCGCGACTCACGGGTGGCGCGTTTGCCGTCTGGCTGTAGATGCCGGGGCAGGCGCGCGCATCGAGTGACGCCGTGCGTGACGCTCTCTATGACGTCTTTGCGATGATTCGGTTTGCCGAGTACGACGCATATACCAGCCGACGGCTGCTGCCTGGTGAGTCGCCTGACGTGTTCCTGGCGGACCTACAGCGTCTCGCAGCTCTGCACTGTGGGGTTCCGGAGAACGTGCTCACGTGCGCTTTTGTCGCCGGCCTGCCCGACGAGGTGCGAAGGACTGTCCGCACAGGCTCCCAGGTGGAGGCTTTGAGTCTGGCGGACATCCTGGTGCGAGCCCGCGCAGTGCTGAGCGACGAACGTGCGGCAGCGGCAGCGGCAGCGGCTAGAGCGCACGAAGAACGAGGAACCCAACAGGCGCGACCGGCAAGGCGACCCGTCCGGAAGTGCTGGACCGGTGAACAGACGGGTCACCTGGCAGCGGCATGCCCAAAACGGCCAGGCGCTGCGTTGGCGCCAGCGCAGTCTCCCGAGCAGTAGCGCGCGCTCTACCAGTCGTGATACTGCTGGTGGACCAGGGCCCCCAGCGTGCCCTGCTCGACACGGAATGTACGTACACCCTGGATCACGTGAGCTGCTGCCGCACGTGGCGCCCGTGCGCGGTCAAGATGCGAACGGTGAACGATGGAGTGCTGCGGCGCGTGGGAACCGCCCAAGTGACGTTCGACTACAGAGGCAAGCGAGTAATGCTCGCGGCGCTGGTGGTCTCAGATCACAGCTCGGTTCGACAGCGCTCACTGGAGTGTGGCGTGGAAGTGGGCGCACGGACGTGGTCCCGAACGTCTGGCGAACACCGTGAGTGAATGCGCTCTACCGGCTGAAGCACGAGAGGCCCACGAGCGCGAGTTAGCTGAATGGGTGGCAAACGGATGGCCCCGGCCCTATGACGAGCAAGAGGACGGGCCCGCTCGGGGCCTGATTTCCTTGATGGCAGCTCAACAACCGCACAAGAGGAAGGTCAGGCCGGTATTGGACGACCGCGAACTCAACCGACATGTGACCGCGCACGCCACGTATGCCGACGTGTGCGCCGAGCAGCTGCGCCGCTGGCGCCAGCATGGTGCCCGGTTGGCCATGGTCGACCTGCGAAAAGCGTACTCGCAGCTGCGTCTGGAGCGCCGACTGTGGCCGTATTAGACGGTGCAGATTAAGGGCCGCACCTACAGCCTCATGTGGCTCGGATTCGGCCTCAATATGGCGCCGTTGATTATGAAGGCCGTTGTTCAGGCGGTGCTGCGTGAGAACGAAGAGATCTGCCGGGCAGAACGAGGAGATCTGCCGGGGAGAACGAGGAGATCTGCCGGGGAGAGCTCGCCTGTGCAGACGACCTGCTCGCCGACGAAGACGTGGTCAGTGCCGGCAAGATGGTGGAGCTCTTTGCGAGGCACGGGCTGGCCTGCAAGCCGCCGGAGCGCGTCGCGGATGGAGCACGAATGCTCGGCCTTCGAGTCGAGGCTCGGGAGGATCAGCTGCGGTGGTGTCGAGACAGTAATGTGCCTCCAACGCCGACCGAGCTCGCCCGGCGTGCAGTGTTTGCGTGGTGCGGGCAGTTGGCTGGTGGGGGCAATTGTGCGGGGTGTGCGCCCTCGCCCTGGCTGTCTTCCGAGCTCTACATCTGACTGGGTGCCGGGGGGCGTCACGTGACAGCGGGTCTCCCGATTCTCCGGAGGTCAAGGGTCGGCCGCTGAGGCGGCGGCAGGGACCCGACGCCCGCAGGCGACCGTCGGTTTGTGGACGGGCCCAGGCGGACACACGCTATGTTTTCTTGCATGGTTAGAAGTTAGCTGATTCCATCATATATTACGCTCGTTTTATCTTTAAATGTGGGGCATTCTATTTCACCATGTATTTGCCCTTGGTTGCATGGCAATCCAAAAAACGTGTCAGGCTCGAGTTGTTTTCGTTCAATTATTGACCACCTTACCGGTATTGTAGCTAAATCGGAATACCCCATACAGTAAATCGCTAAGTACAGGGATATTCTTAATTTTGATTTGAAGAGTGATCTGGAGTTGGCAGGACTGATTGACGTGCTCTAGTTCATACACTAGTGAATATTTTGGTGCCAAAAAATCTGAAACCAGTCTGTAGTTTTTAATTGGTATTCTGCTCCCCGTCCATTCAACCTGCATTAGATATTTGAAGTGTTGCCTTGAGAGGTCATGAAACTTTTTGCATGGCGGTAGTTCACGCGCTGGCACATCTTCCGATCCTTACAAATCTGAACTCGGCTGGCAGCATTTGGGCGATATTGGAGAGTGTTCTCATCCGTTGAGTCGAGATTTGACCTTGAAGGGTGACCTAGAGAGGTCCGAACTCTACGACGGAAGCTAGTATGTGCTCTCACCGATGGTGAGCTGCATGAGCGTAGGAACAGGAGGGCCAGGGGGGGGGGGGCATGGCCCCCCATTTTCCAAGGTGGGGCCAGCAGTGTTAACTGACCCTCTCCCCCAATTTTCAGATTAAGGTTGCGTTTAGCTTTCTTTTGCACTATGTTCAATATACATGCCGATTTGCCTAGTTCATCAAGATGTGTCATCTTTTCCGTTTGCTTATTGGCGATCGCTTTGTGTCACGGCCACAGGCCGAGATCGTGCGGGCCATGGAGACTGCAACGCCGGGCGTCGAGGCTGTTGTTGCTATGACTCGCGAGGGCGCATCTTCAGAACCATATTGCGTAGTTTTTTATCAGTAATCAAGTCTGAATGAATCTTGAGCATCTTAAGGCGAACATGGGTTAACCATGGGACCCCATTCTATCTGCAATCTACGTTCAGGGAGTCTTCAATATCTCTGAAGAACACAGAAGAAAAATATGGAGCGGTAGTCTATGTGAAATTATTTGACCACCTGCGACAATCGGGCATGTTGTTGCGTCAGTGAGGGTTCCCATGCTGATCCGGGGCCAAGTGTGCGGGTCAGAAGACCTCCCGTGTCAGAGAGGAGAACAATGTGAATATGATGCATCCTTCTCATGGTCTCCGGATCGACCAGGAGATCCCGCCCCGTGTCGCTGGAATGACAGCCAGAAGACACTTCGCGATGGGACGGATTGGCCCTGCAGCCCTTGACCGGAGCCGGTAATGTGCCCCTTGCATCCTACTTAAGGGCCCCTTGACCGGGAGAAAAAAGGGATCTGATTATTGGTGAGTAGAGTTATCATTATTGTTGACTAGAGTGGGTCGAAACAAATTGTTAAAAAACGAATAGGGTCATCACATGCTTGCTTGAGAATGTTTATTTTTC